GCCGCGCGCCCTGCGCCCCGCGCCCCGTGCTCTGCGCGCTCGCCTTGATGGTGGCGGCCAGCGGCCGCGTCGCCTCCGCCTTCAACCTGGACACCCGATTCCTGGTGGTGAAGGAAGCCGAGAACAGGGGCAGCCTTTTCGGCTACTCGGTCGCCCTCCACCAGCAGACAGAGCGGCAGCAGCGCTACCTGTAAGTGCCGCCGGCGGGGCGTAGGGAGGGAAGGAGTCCGTGTGCGAGGGTGCAGATTCGGATCCGGAGCCGGAGCCGGGTCGGAGCCCTGGGCCCGCAGGCCCCGGGGAGATGGGATGAAGGGGGCGGGTACCCGGGAAGCCCTCCGATTTGATTGCAGGGCCCGGAGCGAGGTGGAGGCTGGGGGGCGGTAATCACTGGCAAGTGCTGACCGGCCCGAACGTGTTGGACGCCGCCCTCCACCCTTGAGACCTCTCTTGGGGGCGGAAGTGGTATCTCAGCAGTTGAAGCCCCTGTGAACCAAGTACCTAGCATTAGCCTCTTTGCTCTGGGGCTGGGAGTTAGGGAAAACTGCAAGATGAACACCTATCTCCCCAACCCCTCGCCTGGGAAGAACCGCGAACACATCCATTTAGCCCCCCTCACACCTCGCATTTAGTCGGTGACCACGCCAGCCACGCCCTCTGGTCGGCTGTCTTGAGTGCTTGGCATTGCGTGCGGGAGCTGATGGGGAGCTGGGTTTGGAGCTGTCCGGAGGCTCTCTCTGATTCCACAAGAGGGGGCGGAGGAAGCCAGCGAGGCCTGGTGCGCCCACCCGCCAGCGCTGTCCTCTCCCACCAGACATCTTCCTGCATTCCACAGATGCATGTTGGATGGGCAGCTCTGAGTGTGTTTGTTTTGGTTTGAAGAGGGAAATGGTGTTTTTCTCTTTCTTCTCTTCTCCTTCCTAACAGCTGCGAGGAGAAGGAGCAGGAAGAGCTGGGCTTAGGGGAGGGAGGGGAGGAGACTGCATAGGGCTGCCTGCCCCCTACCCACCCTGTGTCCTCAGATCTAGAGGGACCTGTCCAGCTTCCAGAGGTTTCCTGTGCGGGCTCAGTGCCCTGGGGTTGGATTTTGGGGGAAGAGCGTGCCTGGAGGAGGTGAGGCTGCCCAGGGAGGGACCTGCCAGGCATCTCCTTGAGCTGAACCGAAGGACACAGGCAGGTTGAGGGTGTGCTAAAACCTCTCCCAGCTCTTCCTGGGGCCTGCAGAAACTTGAGGAAGCTTGCAGTGGTCAGAGTCCAGCATGTCTGCTTCAGTCTTGGGCCCTGCCCTGCTGCCCAGCCCCAGTCCAGTCTGCTACCTGGACTTAGCCTCTGCCTCCACCCTGCTCCTGTGAAGGTAAGGTCACCACACCCTTCCTGCCTGGGCAGTCAGTTGTGGTCTGGCTTTGGCCAACACTCTGTCTTTCAGAGGCCCTGAGTAACCATGGGTGGGTGCACATTTGTATGACACCAGCCCAGAAAACGATTATCATGTGTTTCCATTGTAAACCTGGGTGACAGTGAAGAAAAAGAGATCAGCCTAGTAAGAAAGTGTAAAAAATAATTCTGCAACACCCCCCACCCCCTGGCGGTGCAGCCTTGAGCAAGGTATTTCTCTTTCTGGGGCTGGTTTTCACCCCAGAGCAGTGGGCCCTCCATCTACCTGCTCCTTGCTACCTCAGGCAGCCTGGCGTTGTAGGAGGGAGAAACGCCTCCCAAGGGCCATTGCCAGCACTCTATTCTGAACCCGCCACTAACCTGAGTCTTAGGTTCCTCTTGGGCGTTTGGGGGGGGGCAGGAGTGTGGCTTCTTTTTATTGGATATTGGTGTGTAAAATGCCCTGCATGTGCCCACTTCACCAAGGAGTAACTGAAGGTGCTGAGCCTAGAATGTGGTACCCCTGTTTTGCCATGAGCCCCACCCAGGATGGCTGGGCAGAGGGGTTCTACTTTCCTTCCTAGGCAGCTAGAGGGATTTGGAGATCCTAGACTTCTGAGACAGGTGGCTTAATACATCCGTGTCTAGACCAGGTTGTGGGTCTCCCTTTAGGTGTCCTCAGTCTTGCCCAGGAGTGGTTCTATATCTTGACCCATCTTGCTAAGTTCAGTCCCCTGGCCCTTTGAGAGAACCAGCTGGGCTTAGCTGCAGCCAGCTGTGGAGCCAGATGTGAACAGCTGTCTACACAGCTCCAGGGAGCCAGCAAGCCAAGGTGTAGCCTCATATTCTGTTAGCCTCTGAGTCCTTTGGAAGAGCAGGTGGGTTCCTGGTCCTGGACAGGCCCTCTCTCTGAGGCTCACAGGTCCTGAAAGTATATGTAAAATCACGTGTGTTTGTACATTGTCCTGGGGGCAGGAGGAGGGGAGAGTGTGGTTTCTGTATTCTTAAAGAAGGCTTTCTTCTGGAAATGGTTAAGACTGCAGGGTGGACCCTCTTTGCTGCCCACTACCTTCATCTCTGGACTGGTGTTCCCTGAGCTTCCCATCTTTGGGAGTGAGGGGGAGGAGCAGGGGAGGATCGAGGCGCTTTGGGCTTCTTGGCGGCAAGCATAAGGGCCCCTTGGATCGAGAGGCACTGTTCCCCTGAAAGGCGGCTACTGACATCCCCTAGCCAGGCACCCACTTTGTTCTTCCTTCCTGGGAATGCAGGTGTCCTGGTCTGGCCTGACCTGCCTGGCTGTGGGATCCCTCTGGGCTCTTCCTCCCTCTTGCGCTTGCCTGGAAATAAGGGTGTCTGGGAGGCCTCTGGCGGGCGTGGCTGTGGCTCCTGGAAATGAGGTCATGGCTGAGGCCTGGCTTACCTGCCCTGCTCTCCTCAACATGTTTCCCTGGGCGGGGCGGGCGCCTGGCAGCCTCCGAGGCGCGTGCTCACAGAGACGGCCCAGCAGCTGCGGCCGCAGACAGTGCGGCTTTTTCCTCTGGCTCTGTCCGAGGACCAGTCTGGGCCAAGGGGCTGTAAAGCGGGTAGAAGGCAGGGAAGGCCCGATGGGGCTTGGTCAGAGCTCAGCAAAGGAGGACGATGACGTCCTTTGCAGTAGAAGCGATTGAGGTTGGAGGACAGAATGCTGTAAGGGGTCAAATATGGAGAAAAATACCAGAGAGCCAGGGAAAGGGAGAAGATGAGAAACAGCCTTGTTCTCGCTGAAGCTTTTTATCTGAGGCTCCACCAAGGCCTCTTTCTCATCCTTCCCATTCTCTTGCTGCCCCAGCTTGTTGCTCTGACTGGAGGGCTGTGGGGATCGTAAGCAGGGGCACAGGAGGACTGCGGGGACCTCAGTTCAGCCGCCAAAGGAGCAGCCTCTAGGGAGATGGCTAATTTGGGCAGCAGGGCTGGCACAGGGCTGGGATCCAGCCATCCCTGAGCTGCCTCCCGCCCCCCTGGGGCTCAGAGTAGGAGAGGAACACAGGACTCCAGGAGTAAGGCACTGGGGGTGCAGGGCCCTGAGTGCTAGACTGTGGGATCCCCCCTTCTCGTGGGAGCCGCCCGCACCTCCTTGAGCTGGTGAGACCTGGGAAGCTGAGTGGTGTAGACCCGGGCCTTAGGGGCTGGGGATTTAGCTCAGCCGCAAAAGCGCCTGCCTGGCAAGCGCAAGGTCGTGAGTTCGGTTCCCGGTACGGAGAAAAACCAAAAAAAAAAACAAAAAAGAAAGAATAGACCCGGGCCTTTTCCTCTAGGGTGAGCCAGCTTGATGGCCTGAGCCTCCTGGGCCCCACTTCCCAGCCTTCTTGGGTTCGGCGCCTTTGCACTTAGCTGCTCCATTAGCTCTGCACTGCCCAGTTGGGGCGCCGGGGCAGGGTGAGGAGGAGCTCTTCTGCCACTCACACTCCGAGGGCTCCCCAGAGACCAGAAGGGGTTTTCTGGCTGGAGCCAGATGAAAGGCTGTTTGAGAGCCCTTGAGAGCAATCATTTCACCCATCCGCCTACTTCCGGTGGGGGCTGGTATCCCTGCTGTGCTGTGCCCCCACCCAGCCCTGCTTGATTCCAGGAGAGGGGCAGCCTCTTCTGTCTCCCCTGCCTTTGACTGTGGCTGGGAGATGGGTTTAAGGGCTTTCTGGGAAGGGTCACCGTTTGGATTCTGATCTAGACCTGACCCAACAGCAGGTAGCTGCTGGAGGTGTTCATTTGCATGGTGATTTACGTTTTCATTTGCATATCAGTAAGCACCCTCCCATCCTCTGGGTTCTGCAGCCCCTGCCACATGCCCACCTAGCTATGGTTAGAAGAAGCTGGAGCTGATCTTCCCTCATGGCCTTCCCCCATCCATGTGCATTGGATCCCGGGCTGGGAGCCAGAGAGCCTTACAGGGCCTCGAATCGGGCCAAGTAAGGGCTAAAAATACCCTAGGGGGTGTGGGGGGGCCCTGTGGAATGTCCCAGGAAGGTGGGGCCTGGGATTAGGGCACTGGCCCTGCCTCACCATCCGTGGGCAGTGGCTCGCAAATGGCGGGAGGCTCTAGGTGGTTTGGAGATTTATTGCAAGTCAGCTGCCACTCACATCCAGATCCGCCCGCTCAGTACCTCAGCAGCTACGAGGAAGGGTCCCTCAGTCTCCTTAGGCTGAGGCCAGGGAATTAGGGGGCATGGAGTCCTGTTTCCTCTCAGGGTCCTCCTGCCCGGCAGCTTGGGCCAGTCAACGGCAGCACTGAGGACACTGCATGCTCCAGAAGGTCCCCGGGGACCCTTCTACCCCTTGAAGCCTGCAGGCCTTCATCAAGGTCATGGTAGCTGCCCGCCTCCACCTCCTGCCAATTCTGAGCTCCTGGGCTTGCGACCCCTTAGTGACTGCCTCATCCTCAGCCTGAGGAAGTCCTACTTCTGTGTCACGACCTTCTTGCTGTCAACAACCATAGCAGTCTGTCCTTCCCTCTATGCTCTTGTTTCCCTAACCAGGGAGGGCAGAAAATCCGGGGTCCCTGGCGGGCGTCCAGGTCAGGCGAGGCCAGTCCTGGTGCCCCAAGTGCTCACATCGGCCTGGGCTTCGTAGTCAGAAACCTTCGGCCGAGCGGACCCGTTTCTTCCTCCCACAAGCCGGGACAGCAGCTACGGCATTTAGAACTGAGGGACTTGGTTCCAGCAGGGAAAGGAAATTGCCAGAGCCGGGTCCCAAGTGCCCAGGTGGAGATGGTCCTTTCCCACGGGCACTGCTTCCTCCTCTCTCATCTCTCAGGCATGCAGCATACAGATGTCCATGGATGGCCAGACAGTGGCCTCCCCCAGGCACCTCCCCAGGCCAGATAGAAGGTGACTAACAGCGGCCCCCTGCCGTTCCCAGCGGTGCTCAGAGCACAAGTCTGCTTGGGGGAGCTTTGCCTCAGCACCCTGGAACACCTCCCAGGGTGAGGTCTGAGCTGCAGCCAGGCAGAGACCCCGCCCCTTCTCCAGCACCCCGAGGCAGTGCATTCCTGACTCCCAGTGGGCAGAGGCACCCAGGCCCCAGCATGCCCAGGCCCAGCCCTGCCCACTTCCTGCCACCCTCAAGCTGCAAGTCCCAGGCAGGGGCTGCAGGCACGGGTTGCGGAGCTGCTGGTGAGGCACTTGCTGGGCACGTTGCTCCGAGAGGAAGCCTCAGAGCGATAATGTTTCTGGGGCCAAATGGAGGGACCTCTCCAGCCTGTTGGGACTGAGGAGGGGTCTCCACAGAGAACGCCAACAGGCTGCAGGGAGATGCCGTGGGAAGCTGGCGTGGGAGAACTGGGGTCTCAGGCTGGGGTGACTGGATCCTATCCACTGGCCCGTGGTAGGTCGGCTGAGGAATTTGTCTCCTTCATAGACACCCCAAGGATCTGCGGCAGTGAGGGTCCCAGGTGCTCAGAGCTGGCATTCTAGGGGTGGTCCCTTGTGCCTTCTGCTCCAGTCTCCCCTCTGCTGTGGGATGGGTTGCCCGGGCCCTAAGCACCCTGCTGTCATTGTCCCCAAACCTGGATTCTGGGGGCAAAGCAGTAACCCTTGCTTGATCTCATCCTCTGGGAACCAGAGTTCTTAGGGCCACACTGTCCAAAGTGCCAGATACCCAGGGCCCCCACAGATCTTTCATGCTGCCACAAGGTGGGACGGGGATGTGGACACCATGCAGGTCACTTAGGGGCCTGGACCTTCTAGATCTTTTATGGGGGGGTGTTGAGACAGGGTCTCCCTATGTAGTTCAAGCTGGCCTTGAATTTACTATGCAGCCCAGGCTGGTCTCGAACTTGTGAAGATCTTCCCGCCTCAGCTTCCCAACTGCTGGAATTACAGGCTTGCGCCACAGTATCCAGCTTGGGACCTCCTAGATTTAAAATGGCATCAAGAGCAAGGGCTCAAGTTTCCATCTCTGCCCCATCCTCTCATAAGTTCTCCCTTCCCCTGCCCCCCTATGCTGGAATTTGAACCCTGGGTCACAACTCCTTCCATCTTCCTCTCTTCGGGTCTATCTTCAACTGGAGCCGAAAACAGTCTTTTGGAAACCAAGTTCTTGCCATGTCACTCACTTGCCTAAAATTCCTTTGTGGCTCTTCCAAGGCCCTGCCTGCCCTCCCCTTGGGTCCCTTCCTGGTGTTCTGGGTTCCATCTGTACCAGCAGGCCTGGTCCCTGAGTCACCCTGCTTGGTCATCCTCCCGGGCCCTTGAAGGCATGCGGTACTTTGCCTAAAGTGCCCTTTCCTTCTGCTCTGGGTCACCCTGGTCATTGTCCTTGGACCTGGGGCTCCTGTTCTTCTCCCCTCCCTAAGGAACCAGGTGGATTTGATCCTGTTCTCCTTCACGGAGGCCCCTGCTGAGCGGCCTGATTCTTGGCCAGCCCTCCCCTACGCTGGGCTTTCCTGGAGGGCATGGCAGGAGCCCGTTCCTGGCTGGGCTCCAGAGCCTGGCGCAGAACTGCCGCTCAGTGAATGCATGCCGAATAGCAAGTGGGCTGCAGGAGCCGGGGGAAGCCTGAGCCCTGGCCCACCTGCCTCCCTGCCCCTGCTCCCAGGCTCCTGGCTGGTGCCCCCCGGGACCTCGCAGTGCCTGATGGTTCCACCAACCGGACCGGTGCTGTGTACCTGTGCCCCCTCTCTGCCCTCAAGGACGACTGTGAGCGGATGGACATCACGGAGAAAAGTGAGGAGAAAGAGCGGGGACAGGGCCTGGAGGAGATGCAGGGCTCACTGGCGTGGCTGCTAGTGACTTCCCGTCCAGCTGGGAAGAGGGAGGGAGCCCTAGAGACTGGGGCAGCTCTCTAACGAGGGGCTGGAGAAGGGGTGCGAGGCGGGCTGTCCTGCTGGGGCGCAGGCCCCAGGGGGCCAGTGCCTTCCCTATGCAGGCTCTGGGCACTGGGGTATGTTGGAGGTGTCCTGGCTCATAATCCCTTCCGTGCCCACAGGTGACCCTAACCATCACATTATCGAGGACATGTGGCTTGGGGTGACTGTGGCCAGCCAGGGGCCTGCAGGCAGAGTCCTGGTAAGTGGACAGTGATGCTTAGCTCTGCCTCCCTCCCTCCTTCATGTCGCCAGGAGCTTGGAGGACAGCAGAGGGCATCTGTGCAGACATGTGCTGTGGCCTTTGCCGTGTCCCCTGTGGAGGCCATGTGTCTCCGCAGGCCTGTCTGTCCCCTACTCCCCGTGTTCCTGGGGAGGGCTGGTGTGTCTGGCACCCTCCCACGCTGAGCATGGCCTGGGTCATCATCCACTTCCTCCCCGCACCCACGGGGCGCTCAGCATTTGTGGAAATGAGCAGGGACTGGAACTCGGAGGAGGAAAGGGCAGAGAGGGCCCCAGGCGGCGGGCGCTGGCCTGGCTCCTTCCTGGGAGGCTGGCCGCCGGAAGAGGCACAGCCCTGCTGGCCCGGGCTCACCCGGCTCTGCTCTGGGGCCACTCCCTGCTGTCAGTGGTCACCTCCTGCCTACGTCCTACAGTGCTGAGTCCTGGGGTCTCAATGTCTGAGTCCCAAATAGACACTCTTTTTCATTGCTTAAACTGTGAAATGTACAGACTTTAAGTTTCTATGCGTTTTGACAAGTGTATACCCCTGTGTAAGCAACACCCGTGACAGATTCAGCATTATTTACGTCACCCCCTTCCAGTCACTGGCCACCTCCACCGCCATCACTGCTGTGACTTCTGTCACCTTCGAACGCTGCTGTGAGCTCCAGGTTTGCATCAGGTCACCAAAACATGGAGATGGCTGTGGGCTAGGAGACCATTTCAAGCTGTTCTAGACCCTGGGTCCTTAGCTATGAGCTACTCACCCATCCATCCACCCATTCATTCATTCATTCAACAGATACTTAGTGTGCTCCTACCCTGTATGGGAGTGGACAGGTTCATGTGATATGCTAGTGGTACTCACAGAAGAGGACAGAAAAAGCAAGTAAACAAAACTGAGAGCCTGTGTCTTGATTTTGTCTGGGCCCAGGTGATTTTAAGACACACACACACACACACACACACACACACACACACCCAGTGCTTGAGATAGAATCCAGGTCTTGTGCATGCTAGGCAAACACTCACACACTGAGTTACATCCCCATCCTAAACACCCTATTTTGATCCACTAATTTGCCCATATATACAAATGGAGCACCTGCATAGATCCTTCCCCTTCGCAAGGCAGCGCAGTGTCGTGCTTAAGAGCTCAGACTTTGGAGCCAGACAGCTTTGTTTTGAAAATGTTCTCTGTCTCTGTCTAGATGTGAGATCTGAGGCAGGTGCTAACCAATCTGTGCCTCAGTATCTAAAATAGGGCAAAGCATTGTCTCTATACCATCGTGTTGCCAGCAAGCTTCAGAGAGCTTTTATGGGAAGAGCTTAGAATTGTGCCTGGCATATAATATGAGGAATGATCCAAAAGTATGGTGTATGTTTAAATTTTTAAAATTTACTACAATAAAAAGACACATTGCCATTCATCCCCTTCAAAATCCTTCCCCTTGCTTTGCACACACATATCCCATCATGCTTTCTGCTTTCTGAAGCAGGTCTGGAAGTCCTCTTCCGTGCCTTTACATTGTACTAGCATGGCTGCCATGTGTCTTTTTTTTTCCTTTTTTGATGTCTTGAGCCCATTGAAAACGTTTACCTTTTGTGATCACTTTGACTCTGGGGAAGAGCTGGAAGTCACACCAGGGAATAAGGTGGATGAGGACACACTGCAGTACTGTGTATGAGGCTGCCTTTCTGTTGGAAGGCACTCAGCGGCAGCATTCACCATATTTTTTAATCATACTTTGTAAAGACACTCGGGGCAGAGGACTCCAGAGCTGCTTCAGAATTTGGCTCAAACCTTGGGATGAGTGTGTTCAAAGCAAGGGGCCGGATTCTGAGGGGGCTCATGGCCGTGTGTCTTCTACTGTATTAAAATTTTTTATTTAGGGGGCTGGAGATTTAGCTCAGTGGTACAGTGCCTGCCGGGCAAGTGCAAGGTCATGAGTTCGATTCCCGGTACTGGAAAAAAAAAAATTTTTTTTATTTGAATATCCACCGTATTTTTTGATCACCCCTTGTAGGTGCTTGGTAAGCATCAGCTGATGCCATTATGGTTAGTATTATTATCACTACTTAGTAACACTACTTTCATTAAGTAGACATGGTTGTGTGGGGACAGAGAGAAGTGAGCTCTCTGTAAATGGCCCCTTAGACCCAGAGGCCATTTCGGGGCCATTTAGATCCCCTCAGCTCTCCTTTCTCCAAGATCTCTAAGCCACTCTCAGATCCACACCTTGTGGCTCCCTACCACTGCTCTTGACCTTTGCAGCAGATTTCTGCATGCTGGGAGGGGGATGCAGGTTTAAGTATCACTGTGGGAACAAAAGCAGCCAGGAATCCTCCTCTGGCTCCTGTCCTGCAGAGCCAAGGGTGCCAGGGCGAAGGAGACAGCCTGCTGCCGCGGGTCCTGCTCCCGGCTAAGGCTGCGTGTGTTCGGCTCCCAGGTCTGTGCCCACCGATATACCCAGGTGCTTTGGTCGGGGTTGGAGGACCAGCGGCGCATGGTGGGCAAGTGCTATGTGCGGGGCAATGACCTGGAGCTGGACCCCAGCGACGACTGGCAGACCTATCACAATGACATGTGCAACAGCAACACCGACTACCTGGAGACGGGCATGTGCCAGCTGGGCAGCAGCGGCGGCTTCACCCAGAACACTGTGTACTTCGGTGCTCCTGGTGCTTACAACTGGAAAGGTGGGGACCGTGAGGGAAGGAAGGAGGAGCAGAGACCACGCGCCCCCCATTGGCCAGTGACCCAGACCTTCCACATAAGGGGTCAGACAGGTTCCTGTGCCAGCAGCAACTACCCTGCCATCTATTGTGTTCAAGCATTTACCATGCGCCCAGGACTGTTTTAGTCCTAAAATATTTTTATGAACCAAATAGTATTACATCCATTATACAGAAGAGAAAGCTGAGGCTTAGAGAAGTAAATTGCCCATGGTTAATAATAAGTTTTGAAACACAGATTTGAATGCAAGTCCATCTCACTTCACCTTAACCACTGAAAAAAATTGTTTTATTTTAACTTGATTTTTTGAGACAGGGTCTCACTTTGTAGTCCAGGCTGCCCTTGGGTTCACAGTGATCCTCCTGCCTCAGTCCCCTCAATTGTTGGGCTTACAGGCATGCGCCACTATGCCCGGCCTTAAAAGCTTATTTTAGAAACCAAATGTGCTCCTTATATAGCTACTAAATAGTACAGTAGGATTTGGTAGTTTAGAGGGTGAGGAAGTGTCACCTAGGGCCTACTACCCAGGAGCCAGGAGGATGGCGGGGGGCAGCCCTGCCTCTACAGCTAGCTCCCATGTGACTGTAAGCACATCAGTTTCCTGCCCTGAAGCCTCAGTTTTCTCATCTGCAAAATGGGAATCATCATTCCATCTCATAAAGTGCTCACAAATAAGAGGCATTGTTATTATTATGGGGGGGTCTGGATATGTTGGGAGAAAGGAGTGGTAACCGTATTCCCCTGTTCTCCCTTCCCAAATCCTTGTGCAGGAAACACCTACATGATTCAGCGGAAGGACTGGGATTTATCCGAGTACAGTTACAAGGAGCCGGAGAGTGAGGGAAACCTCTATATTGGTGAGTGCAGCGCTGGTGGCTCGCTGGGTGACAGAAAGGGAGGGCAGCTCAGTCCCTAGCACCCTGGGCCGGTGGCGGAGTGAGGACAGGGTGCAGGTGTGACAAGTGGCATCTGACTGAACTAGCATGCGCTTGTTGAGCACCACCCGTACGCCAGGCCTTGTTCCCAGCTCCCAAATGCAAAGCCACCACTCTCATGGTGCTCACAGTCCCGTGTGCAGGCAGGACTGGGGGCGGGAGGGGACAAGGCCACTGGCTTCTGGCGGCCGCTGGGGCCTTGATTGAACCCCTTTACCTCTGCCAGGGTACTCGGTGCAGGTGGGCAGAGCCATCTTGCAGCCCTCAGACATCACTGTGGTGACGGGTGCCCCGCGGCACCAACACAGAGGCGCCGTCCTCTTGCTGAGCCAGGAGGCGGGCGGAGACCTTCGGAAGAGGCAGATGCTGGAGGGCACTCAGGTGGGCGCTTACTTTGGCAGCGCCGTTGCCCTCGCAGACCTGAACAATGATGGGTAAGGATCTAGGGCATCCTGGGGGCCGGGGAGAGAAGCAGGTGCGTGGGCCAGCTCGAGGGTGAGGGAAGCTGTGCAGCTGTACTGTCTCCGGGGCTTTGCAGAGTTCCCGGGAGTCTGCGTGTTTGCATGTCATTTGCGGGACACCTGCACCTGCCTGTCTGTGGCTGCGTGCCTCTGGGCCGTCTGGTGTCATCTTTGCTTGCATGAGGACATGCAGTGCAGGCTGGCCTTGAACTCACTCTGTAGCCCAGGATGGACTTGAACTCATAGCGATCCTCCTGCTTCTGCTTCCCAAGTGCTGGGATGACAGTCTTGCACCGTCACACCCGGTGACACGTGTTTTCTATTTGGTGACCTTCCCATGGCCTGTGGCCAGATGTGCCATTCACACAGCTGTGTGCTCTGCACAATCACGTCTGTTAAATAAGGGCTCTGCTGCACGTCGGGGTCCGGGCTCACGCTCCCTTCCCCCCTCCTCCTGGCCTGTGCAGGTGGCAGGACCTCCTGGTGGGCGCTCCCTACTACTTCGAGCGGAAAGAGGAGGTGGGGGGTGCTGTTTATGTCTTCATGAACCAGGCGGGCACCTCCTTCCCTGCCGAGCCCTCCCTCCTTCTTCATGGCCCCAGTCGCTCCGGCTTTGGCTTCTCAGTGGCCAGCATTGGTGACATCAACCAGGATGGATTCCAGGGTAGGAGCCAGCGCCCCTCCCCCACTGACCGCCCGCCAGCTGCATACCAGGGTTGACGGATCCCACACGGGAGTGGGATGGGGCCCAGGTCTGGTTTGCTCAGAGCAGCTCTTGAGAAGGGACAGAGAGAAGAGGGGAGCAGCAGGGGCACTAGAAGGCACCCGGATCTAGCTGGCAATGTGGCATCTGTCAGAGACAGCCTGGGGGTGCTCTGGGGTGAGGGTGAGGGCACTGAAAGCCAGGCACTGAACTGGGGCTCTCCCCGTAGGTACCCGGACAGGGGCAGGGGACAACCAGAGGAAGTTCAGGAGCAGGGATGTGACATGATAGCCTGATGATACCTTAAAAGCTAATTTTGGAGCGGGGTGCAGGATGCAAGGAGCGGCAACGAGGCTGGGTGAGGTAGGGAGGTTAACAAAGCATACACCGCTGCAGGTGGGGTGGCGACGCCTGTAATTCCAGAGCTCCAAGAGGCTGAGGCAGGAGGTTCACAAGTTGGAGCCCAGCCTGGGAAACTTCGCAACTTAGTAAGACCTTGCCTAGAAAGAAAAAATAAGCAAAGGACTGGGGCTGAAGCTCAGTGTGAAGGCCCAGGGTTCAGTGTTCAGTACCATAATGAATGACTGAATGAATGAAGTATGACAGGTGGGGTGAGCAGGGTGGGCACAAGGTGGAGTTCCTAAATAGCGAGGTCATCACCAGTGCTCTGCAGCACTCGGGGACCAGTCGCACCTGAGGTGCCATGGGAGGGACAGGTGCGGGCCTGGGCTTCGTTGCCATGGGAGCGCTTGGCTTACCTGAAGTCACTTCTCTGAAAACCTGTTTCCCAGGACACTGCTGAGTACCAAGGGGAGGCTGGCGCCTCAGAGGAGGCAAAATGGTGCCAGGAGGTTCTTCCCACAAAGCCCACGCGCTCCCTACCGAAGGGCCCTTTGGTTTTTGCTTAGGACCGTGGACTCTTCCTTAGCATAGTTCCCTGGCAAGCTGGGCCTTCAGGGTGCCAGGCCTTATCAGGTCAAATGCAACAAGGAAGTCCGGTAATGTTTAAGAAGTTCATACAATGGGTGGTTTCTCATGGCAACAGTAGAAGTCAATCCACCACGGCCTGAGGATTGAAGTCTCAGTCCCAGTGTCAGGCAGACATGGGTTCAGACGTCCTCCTCTCTACTCTGTGCTGGGTTTTCTGAGCCTGCTTCCTCATCTGTGCATCGGGGACAAGAGTCCCTACGACACAGCACTTGTGAGAGGGTCAAGAGATGAGTGCTTTAATTAAAGGCCATCACCAGTGGGGACCCCTCCTTTTCGGACCCTGCTGGTAAACGTCATTGGAAGAGCCAGGATGTCCAGAGAGGAGACGGTAGGGGAATGGAAAGTAGGGGTCAGGGATGTGGGGCGCAGCTCGGCTGTGGCACTGGCTCGCTGTGTGACTCTGGGGAGGCCGCTTCCCCTCTCCTGAACCTCCTTTCCCACCTGTGAAAGGAGGCAAGCGGTGTCCGGGTGGTCTCAGCTTTAACCCGGAGCTGCAGGACTCCGCAGTTTCCCTGCTGCTCTGAGCACTACCTGCAGGCTCAGGTCAGGGCCGTTCTGGGTCTGGGTGCCTGCGGCACAGGGCTGGGGAGACGTGGGGCCTGCAGTCCCCGAGTGACCCTGCCCTGCCTCTCCTCTGCAGACATTGCTGTGGGCGCCCCATTCGAGGGCTTGGGCACAGTGTACATCTACCACAGCAGTTCCGACGGGCTCCTCAGACAGCCCCAGCAGGTATGGACGGACGGGGACGCAGCTGCTGCCCCTGCCAGCTGAGGTGGGCCTCCTCCTCCGCCTGTCCCCCTGGGCCCCACTCCCTAGAGCCTACCCCACGGCCTGTCCCCACCATGTCCCCCTGTCCCCAGGTCATCCAGGGAGAGAAGCTGGGGCTGCCTGGCCTGGCCACCTTCGGCTACTCTCTGAGTGGGCGGATGGATGTGGACGACAACCTCTACCCAGACCTGCTCGTAGGGAGCCTGTCAGACCACATCGTGCTGCTGCGGTGAGCCGGGGGACGCTGGACAGGGCCTGTCTCTCCTCTGTCCCTGTCTCCGTGGAGTCCCATCTCTGTGCACCAGGTCAGGGAAGCCTGCAGTCCAGGAGGCACTGACCTCTGCCTGGTTCTGTTTTCCCCGCAGGGCCCGACCTGTCATCAACATCCTGGACAAGACCTTGGTGGCCAGGCCAGCTGTCCTGGACCCCACACTTTGCACGGCCACTTCCTGGTGAGACTGTCAGCCCCTGCTCTGCCCACGCACTCCTCATGGTTGAGCAGGTCAGGAGGGGACCCAGTTCCCTGGTCCCTCCTCTGGCCACCCCTTATATCCCACCTTTAGAGGTTTTACTCTGGGGCCGGCACTAGCTAGCCACCCTCATGGAAAAGAGTGGTTCCTTGCAGGAGATAATGGGTGAATCGGGGGCAGTAGAGCCCAGTGGCTGGGAAGGGGAGCTCTGGACTGCCTGGCTCAAAGCCCAGCATTGCAGAGAGGGTACTGTGAGGAGCGTGGTCCCGGCAGAGAGGGAAGAAGAATGCACTTAGATGGATGCATGTGGGGAAGCCGGGAGAGCCAGCTTGGGCAGTTATTAATCTCTCACGCCTCAGATTCCTTTCCTGTAAGAGTTAATAACCACTTCAGGGGGCTGGTGATAATTAAATGAGACAGTGTACAAAACATCCCTAGCACAGCACTTGGCGCACCTTCAGTGCTCAGAAAATGTCAGTTGCTAAGAAAGTGATGACAGTGACAGTGACGGGGATCAGTCCCAGGTCACTGGGTGAAAGCGCGGGAAGCCGGGCAGGGAAGCAGCGGGTGGGTGGTGGAGGGAAATCCGGACTGGAGATCCCAACCCCGGGGTTCGAGACTGGGCTGGGCCCCAACTGACTGATGACTTCAGACAAACCCTTCTGCTCTCTGGGCCTGAGTGTCCCAGCAGTGACCTCTAACTTTGTTTTCTGTCACTCTATTGGGAATGAGAAGGAAGGGGTCAGTGAGAATTTAGAGCAGCTTTATGGACACCCCAGTTTTTTCTTTCCTGTCCCCAGAAAGGCCCTAGGTTCCCTTTCCCTCTTACAGGAGCCAGTTAGGGTCAGTCCCCTGGCATGTCCCACTGTGACCAGGTCCTCCTGTCCATCCCCCCAACAGCGTGCAGGTGGAGCTGTGCTTCGCTTACAACCAGAGCGCCGGGAACCCCAACTATAGGCGCAACATCAGTGAGTGCCGGGCACGGGGTGGGGGGCACGCTCGCCCGGCGCCTGCTGACTGCCCTGTCCACCTGCAGCCCTGGCCTACACCCTGGAAGCTGACCGGGACCACCGCCCACCCCGGCTCCGCTTTGCCCGAAGCCAGTCAGCCGTCTTCCACGGCTTCTTCTCCATGCCGGAGACGCGCTGCCAGACGCTGGAGCTGCTCCTGATGGTGAGGGAAGAGTGGGGCAGGAGGGGCTCCAGGATTCCTGGAGGAGGTGACTGGCGTCCCCCCCAGGTCAAAGGTGAGGGACAAGGGACTCCCCAGAGACAGGTTGGCATGCTGTAGGTCTGATGGATGAGGTCGAGGAAGTATAGTGCATAGCACCGAGCAGATGGCCAGGGAGAGCAAAGGCCCTGAGAAAGTGAGGGATGTGGGGGGTCACCTCTGGGGAAAAGGGTCCCTGACTGGGACATCAGAAACGGGGGTGGGGGAGCCTCACCCTGGGGACCTAGTGATGAAGGGAGGCTCAGTCCTGCCCCGCCTCCCCAGACCTTTGGAGAGGAGGAGCACCGCCCGAGCTGGGGTGGAGGTTCAAGATGGTAGAAAGACTCAACTTGTGGCCAACTTGTGGAGAGGGTTCAGCCTCACTGGGGGTCGTCAGCTCCTCCTCGGGGCTCAGGGTAATGTGAGGCTTCAGCCTGGAGCGGGGCAGGACCAGGCCTGGCTCAGCTGGCCCTTGATCCCCAGGATAACCTGCGCAACAAACTCTATCCCATCACCATCTCCATGAACTACTCGTTACCTCTGCGGATGCCCAAGCGCCCCCGGCTGGGGCCGTGGTCCCTGGATGCTTACCCGGTCCTCAACCAGGCGCAGGCTGTGGAGAACCACGTGCAGGTGGGCGAGGCGGGCCGGGAGGGCTGTAGGCTCAGAGGGCGCTGTCAGGGTGGAGCCCCTCATTCCGCCCTCTGTCCGCAGATCCAGTTCCAGAAGGCGTGCGGGCCTGACAACGTGTGTGAGAGCAACTTGGAGATGCGGGCGGCCTTCATGTCAGAGCAGGGGCAGCGGCTGAGCAGGTGGACACTGCATAGCACTGATTGGCCAATGGGGTAGCATGGTCCCATTGGCTAACAGGACTGGGGGGGTGGGCTTCATCAGTCAGGACAGGACCTCATTGGCCAATAGGACTTGGGGGCGGAGCTTTCATCTACAGGTGAGACTGCGTGCAGGGCTGAGCCTGGCCAGCCCAGAAGTAGCCCCGTCTAGTGGACCTGGGGCGAGCCCTAGGGGTGGGGCCTGTAGCTCAGTCCAGGGCTCCTTCCTCAGGCTCCAGTACAGCAGAGATGTCCGGAAATTGCTCCTGAGCATCAACGTGACCAACGCCCCGAGCCAGAAACGGGCTGGGGAAGATGCCCACGAGGCGCTGCTCACCCTGGAGGTCCCACCCGCCCTGCTGCTGTCCTCTGTGCGCCCTGTAAGTGCCCACCGGCCAGGCTCAGCCCAAGCAGGACTCCTCGCTGATTTGCGTGTCCTTTGTGTGCATCAGAATACTTCGTTGTGCGCCCGCCTCCTCCAGGCTGGGCCTCCTCTCCTCGCGCCTGTGTTTCCCTGCTTGGGAAACCTGGTTCTCAGGCCTCTTCGGTTTCTGCCCTGACCTTTCTTATCTTTCTTCCTCAGCCTGGGGCCTGCCAAGCTAATGAGACCATCCTGTGCGAGCTGGGGAACCCCTTCAAGCAGAACCACAGGGTGAGCCTTAGGCCTGGGCGCTGCTCCTCTGCCTCCTAGGCTGCCTTGAGGTCGGGGTCCAGAGGGGGCGGAGTGGGTTTAGGCAACTTCAGTAACTGCTCGATGTTGTGCAAACGTAGCAGAGATCTGGAGAATAGCAGAGCTGTCACGCAAGGGAGAAAAGGTGGGGAGGGAGATGGGGATAAATAAGGTGGAGACCCCTCGCCTAGAATGGGGGAAGAGGACTCCAGAGAAGCGCCTCCCTCGCTGAGCGTTGGCCCTTCTCTTCCCCGGGATGTTGCCCATTGGGTCCCCAAATGCCCGCTCTGTTTCCCTGACCCTGGCGGCAGATGGAACTGCTCATCGCCTTTGAGGTCAGCGGGGTGACGTTGCAAACGAGGGACCTGCAGGTGCAGCTGCAGCTGTCTACGTGAGTGACCGGTGAGGCCAGGCTGGCTGGGGCAGAAGTGGTGACCTCGGTCTCCTTCTGACCCCTGGCTTCCCGCCCCAGGTCGAGTTACCAGGACAATCTGCAGCCCTTGACCCTGACTCTGCTGGTGGACTACACGCTCCAGGCCTCGCTCAGCATGTGGGTGCTGCTCTGCTCCCCACCCTGCCCCCAGCCTGCCATGCCTGGGCCAGGGCCTCCCTGTCCCCAGGTGTCTCCTCCGGCATGCGCTTCCCCTGGGTCATCTTTTTCTTTAGCATCATTAATGTTATTGTCCTAATAGAGCTTGTAGGAGGACTCAGCAACACTAGGGCTACATGTTGGTTCTTGCCCTCAGTTTAGGGGGTGTTCTTTTTTTGGAGATGGAACCCAGGGCCTTGGCATGCCTGGCAAATCCTCTAACACTGAGCTACATTCCAGCCCTTTTGCCCTATGTTGCCCAGGGTAGCTTCAAACTTGCAATCCTCCTGCCTCAGCCTCCTCAGTAGCTGGGATTATAGGTGTGCACCACTGTGCCACACTTCAGCCATTTCTTGAATACTTGTGTGCTAAGGACTTTGTGTACATCCTCTCGTTGGTATCTCACAACCGCCCTGTGTTGTACAGACTATTATGAACTCCACCGTATAGATGAGGAAACAGTCTCAGAGAGGATAAAACTTACTGAGGCCATTGGTGAATGGCAGAGCTGGGGTTTATACCCAGGCCTGCCTGACATCAGAGGAGTTGTAGGTAACCAGCCTTGGTGCCCACCCTTCTGCCAGGGCCTCAGCCTCCTGCCCCTCCATGACTCAAGCATCTTTTTTACTCCTAGGGTGAATCACAGGCTGCAAAGCTTCTTTGGGGGGACAGTGATGGGTGAGTCAGGCATGAAAACTGTGGAAGATGTGGGAAGCCCCCTCAAATATGAATTCCAGGTAAGGGTACCTGTGTGGTCCTGGGTGGGGACTCCTGGGAAAGGAGGTGGTGGGGGGTGGGGGGATGGGGGGGTTTGGCTGGACCTGGGTCTGAGACTGGGAGGTGTTTTTTCAGAAGACAGTAACTATGACACCTCTTGTGCCCACAGGTGAGCCCTGTCGGGGAGGGGCTGGCTGCCCTGGGGACCCTGGTCCTAGGTCTGGAATGGCCCTATGAAGTTGCCAATGGCAAATGGCTGTTGTACCCTACGGAGATCACCATTCATGGCAATGGGTCCTGGCCCTGCCAGCCTCCCGGAGACCTGGTCAACCCTCTCAACCTCACACTCTCTGTAAGTTCACCAGCAGGGATGCTTCATTTGCATCTCATTTGCATATATTTAATTTGCATATTGTGGGGCAGAAAGGCTGCGTCTTGCCCTCCCTCTTTTTTTTTTTTTTTTTTTGGTTTTTCTCTGGTACCGGGAACCGAACTCATGACCTTGCGCTTGCCAGGCAGGCGCTTTTGCCGCTGATCTAAATCCCCAGCCCCTTGCCCTCCCTCTTGCCCTTTAGGAAGCTGACTCTCTCCCTGCCCTTTCCCTCCTACTTCTGCTCCCATTTCTTCCTCTCTTCCCAGCAAATCTCTTCTCCCTTCAGGACCCCAAGAACAGGCCGCAGCGCAGGCGGAGAGAGCTGGACCCCAGGGGAGACCAGGGCCCCCCACCCGTCACTCTGGCTGCTGCCAAGAAAGCCAAGTCTGAGACTGCGCTGGTGAGTGGCCAGGGGAGGGCTGCGGAGCGCTGCCACCACCCATTGCCAGGTGTGTGCAGCCAGGGGCCCACGGGGGAAGGGAGACAGAGATCCAGGCTGGTGAGGTGATGTGGGCCTTGCCCTCAGGAACCCTTAGACTGCGGGAGACTCGTCTCCTGTCCTCAGCGCCCCGCTCTGACAGGGGAGCATCCGGTAGTGAACCAAAGCGGGGGATGCTGGCCATGTTCCGAGGAGGCCCGACCTGTTGGGGAGCATACAGCACTCACAGCCTCGGACCCAAGGGCCGGGAGTGGGTGGAGTGGAAGACTGGGCCAGGATGCCCCCCGAGGGAGGGAGAGGGCCGGGGCTAGCTGGGAGGAGAGGCAGAGGGTGGTGTCCTGGGGCAGGTTTCAGGACAGGATCGGTGAGGGCCAGCTGGGACCTCCTTCACTTGCCGGGGACTAGGTTTCATGTGACCCATGTTCCTGGCCTCATATGGGCTTGGCCCAAAGAGTGTCTTGAACACGTTTTCGGGGAATCGGGGAACATGCGTGAGTGGCAAAGTGAAGTCAGGGGCGCTTTGGATCACCCACGGGTGGGACAAGGTCTAAGAGGGGTGAAGAGTGAGCAGCGAAGCGTGAAGAATTTGGAGACCCAGACTGGCTCCTGTCTTGTGTTTCCTGCCCGCCTCAGAACTGTGCCACTGGCCGCGCCCGCTGTGTGTGGCTGGAGTGTCCCCTCCCAGACGCCGCCTTCACCACCAACGTGACCGTGAAGGCCCGAGTGTGGAACAGCACGTTCATCGAGGTGAGGGCTGGGTGCTGGGGGCGAAGAGCAGAGCCAGGAAGGTCCTGTGACTGTGCCAGCCTCTCGTGCCACCTGGGACAGACATCTCCTGTTACTTGATTCCAGCTTTATGGGCCATTTGGTTTCTAGGACGTTGGCTCGGTCCTGCCACTGTAGTGCAAAAGCTGCCGTAGATAAGCGAATGGGCCTGGCTGTGTGCTGAGAAATACTTTATATACGAAAGCAGGTGCCAGGCCAGAGTTAGCCCACGGGCCTAGCCCAGACTGTGACCTTCGGTGTCACCCTCTGCTGTGCTGTCCAGCACAGGAACTGATGCTCAAGTGAGTAAGGGAAGGAAGGAAGGAAGGAAGGAAGGAAAGAAGGGAGGGAGGGAGGGAAGAAGGAAGGAAGGAAGGAGGGAAGGAAGAGTGAATGATGTACGTGTGTGCACAGAGGAGAGGTCTGGCTGACTCCTCCTTTGCGGGTGCTGCTTAAGGCTGCTGCCGGGTGGAAGGGCAAGGGTTGGGGTACGCAGGGTTAAGAGAGAGGCCGGGGGGGCTTCAGCTGCTGCCTTTGACCACCCTGTCCCGCTTCCAGGATTACAGAGACTTTGACCGAGTCAGGGTAGACGGCTGGGCCACGCTCTTCCTGCGAACCAGCGTCCCCTCCCTCAACATGGAGAACAAGACCACGTTGGTGAGCGCACATTGGACAAGGACAGTGGGCTCCTCCAGGGCAGGGGGCACAGGGCGTCTTTGGAGAGCACGTTGGCACCTTTAGCTATACGCTTTTCTGCCTTGGGATGCGTTAGGCTTGTCTGGAAGGTTTCTGGTGTCTGGATGTGCCTCGGAGTGCCTGAGTCTGTGTCCCCGGGGTGGGACCCCAGTCCCCTGTGTGATCCTGGTGAGCAGCTAGAATTGAGAGCCACCACCTGAGCTCCTTTGGTCCGCACAGCGGCTCCAGGAAAAGGAGGGCTGGGGTGGCATCTCTGCTGAGGACTGAAGACACAGGCGCAGAGAAACTGAGAGGCCTTCCCAAAGAGGCACCGCTTGTCAGGGTGGCACCCAGCATAACTGTGAGGAAGGGCTGGGTTCAAAGGCCCTCCTGAGGGGGGCAAGCGCTGCATCAACAAAGGGGTGTCCTTGGTCCCCCTGGGCCAGCTCCTTCCACGTGTGAGACTGTCCACATGGCAGAGAAGACAAATAATTGACCCAAGCATGGTGGTGCATGCCTGTTATCCCAGCCCTTGGGAGGCTGAGGCAGGAGGATCACCATGAGTGTGAGGCCAGCCTTGGCTACTTAGTGAAGTTAAGGCCAACATGAACTACACAGCGAGACCCTGTCTCAAAAAAACCAACCACCCACCCACTCAACCAACCAAACAAGCAAAAAAAGAGAGAAGCCGTTAAAAAGCTATTGGGTCCAATAAGAAAATCAGGAGCAAAGCATGGTGGTACATGCCTGTAATCCCAGCTACTTGAGTGGCTGAGGCAGGATGATTATCCAAACCCAGGAGTCAATATTATCAAGTTGTCAGTTCTTCCCAGATTGTTCCAGTCTCAGTAGGATTCAAGGAACTTGGAAAAATAAAGAAGGTTTCCAAACTGATTCTAAGTTACCTCCAGAGGAATTGCTAATAATTTTTGTGAAAACCACCGGGTATGGTGGAACACATCTGTAATTCCAGCTCTTAGGAGGCTGAGGCAGGAGGATCACCACAAGTTCAAGGCCAGCCTGGGCTACACAGTGAGTTTAGGGCCAGACTGAACTGCATAGCTAGACCCTGTCTCAAAAACAATTTTTTTTGTGCATGAAAAGGGTGTAAATGGAGATATGTAGAAGATATATATAGGGAAGCGGCTGGAGATTTAGCTCAGCGCCACAGCGCCTGCCTGGCAAACGCGAGGTCCTGAGTTTGATTCCCGGTACCAGAAAGAAAAAAAAAAAGAAAAGATATATATAGGGAGATAAATGGAGGGCTGGTTAAATACATTATTGTATATTTCCTAAAATAAATTACTGTGGTATAAAAGAGGTGCAGGGAGGCCCGGAAAGATCAATGTAACAGAAATTTAGTTTGATACAGACTGTGTTTTTTGTTTTGTTGTGTTTTGTTTTTCCGGTACCGGGAATCGAACTCATGACCTCATGCTTGCCAGGCAGGCGCTGTGCTGCTGAGGTAAATCCCCAGCCCACAGACTGTGTTTTTAATCAGTGCAGAAAGATTATTAAAGAGTGTTGGAAAAACACATTTGGAAAATAAAGACAAATCTCTACCTCACACCATAAACAAAAATACATGAGGTTAGATGAAATATTTAAATGTGGAATTAAACATATGTCAGGATAAAATACAGGGACTGATTTAATAGACCTTTAGTTAGTTGGACCTTGTGGCACAAGCCTGTAATTCTAGCACTCTGGGAAGCTCAGCAGAGACCCTGTCTCAAAATTAAAAATGGACTGGGCCAGGCATGGTGGAGCATGCCTTAATCCCAGCGCTGGGGAGGCTGAGGCAGGAGGATCAAGGAAAGTTTAAGGCTGGCCTGGGCTACATAGTGAGTTCAAGACCATCCTGGACTACATAGCAAGAGCCTGTTTCGAAAAACAAAACAAAACAAAAGGATGGGCTGGGGCCATAGGTCAGTGTGAAGGTCCTAGGTTCAGTCCCCAGGACCGAGGAGGAAAAGTAACCTTTAATTATGGAGAGAGTAAATTATCTTATTAAACTCAAAAGTCACAAAGGAAAAATTAGGGAAATTGGAATATATGAAAATTTAAATTTGTACATAGTAAAAGAGATGGTAAAGACACTAAAGGGACATCAGCTATACTCCTTTTTTAAAGTTTACAGAGTATATGGAAAAGTATTGGTATACTTGTATACCAATATATAGATATGTTTATATATAAGCATTTAAAGATAAAATGTATAAAAGAACAGTGTATATAAGGTGAAATATAAAGTTTTCGTTTTTTAGGACAGGGTCTCACTAGGCAGCGCAGGCTGGCCTTGAACTTACTTCCATCCTCCTGCCTCAGCCTCTCAGGCATCTAGCACCACACCCTGTGAAATACAAATGTTTAACTTAGAAAGCAATAAAAAAAAAATAACAGGAATGAGTGGAGGATGTGAAAAAAGTGTTGTCTGGTGCTGATAGGGGAACGAGGTGGTGCTGGCTGGAGTATAAATCAGTGGGTTCCTTTTGGAGATGAATTTGTCAATATCCATTAAAATTTAAAGCACCCATTTCCTTTGCTCGAGCCCAGGATAGCCTGTCCTCGGGAGCTAGTGAGACGAGTGTGCAAACATACACATACCGGGGTATTTTAGAGCATTGTTGAGAAGGGCAGAGAGAGATGCCGCGATATCTTTCAGTGGGAGGCTGCTTCAGCCCACAGTGGCGCATTTCCTACGATGACTGTGGCCCCAGAAGAGGTTGGCTTGGGCTCTGTCTGTCGACAGGGGGAGATGATCCCACTGGGAGAGGAAAAAACAGCTTGCATGAGAGCGGGCGCAGGCTGGGTGCATCCGTAGGGATCGCACACATTAAAAAGTGAGTTCCTGGAGGTACTTGTTAGTTGAGAGTAAAATGCCTGGGAACCTTTAATTTTCTTTGTATCAAACATTTTAAAAATAGAGATGAGCCACAGAGTGGTGCAGTAACTTGCCCAAGGTCACACAGCTAGTGAGGAACACAACTAGACTCGAACCCAGGTCGTCTGGCTCCCGAGCCTGTACCTTAGCCATGCTGCTTTGTATGAGGTAGGCAGGTGGATGCCCTTATCAGAGGGTTCTAGATGAAGATTCAGGGATGTAATTCCTTGTCTAAGGTCACACCCCATCTAGATGGACCTGGTACCCAAGCCGGATTGTGTGCACGGCAGCGGGTCTGAGGCTGTGCCCAGGGAGCCAGGTCTGTGTAGTAGAGAAGCAGGACCCACACACCTGCTGGGATCAGGCTGGCGGGCAAGGGCTTTTTCCAGTCCCTGGCTGCCCCCTACTGGCAGGAGGTCAAACAGCAGGGTCTCGGGCACAGCCAGGAAGAGAAGGGATCCTATGAGGTCTGTGGGGGCGGGGGGGGGGGGCAGACACAGGACGCAGCGCGGCTTCTGTGCCCCCAGTTCTCTGTGGACATCGACTCAGACCTGGTGGAGGAGCTGCCGGCCGAGATCGAGCTGTGGCTAGTGCTGGTGTCCGTGGGTGCGGGGCTGCTGCTCTTGGGACTGATCATCGTCTTGCTGTGGAAGGTCAGCACCCAGCCCGCCTGCAGGAACTCCGCTCCCACCAGCCCCTGCTCACCGACCCTCCCTCCACCCTGCGGCTCCCCATCCCTGTCATCTCCATCACAGCGCCCCCACCCGGCTTCCAGTTCTCCCCCGCCTGGGTTGACCGACCGGGGGAGCTGCAAGCTGGAGTGGGGGAACCCAGGAGATCCGGCATCTGGCCGCACCCCCAGGCTGAGGCCGGGGTCCAGGCCTCCAGGTCCCCCATCCTAAGCCCCGGCCCCCGAGTACTGCTGGCGGGGACACCCCAGGGCCCCTGATGGCACCTCCCACCTCCTCCCCCCAGTGTGGCTTCTTCAAGCGAGCCCGCACTCGCGCCCTGTATGAAGCCAAGAGGCAGAAGGCGGAGATGAAGAGCCAGCCGTCAGAGACAGAGAGGCTGACGGACGACTACTGAGGGGGCAGCCCCTGCCCCGGCCCACCCGGGTAACGCGGCCTACGGGCCCTGCTCCCCGAGCCCCCAGCCGGCCGGGGCCTCTGACTCTGTCCTGTCTGCGCCTCTTCCTTTAGGGGCCAGCTGTGCCCTCACCTGTCCCCGCCACCACCGGGGAGGGCAGGCCACTGTCTGACTTCCCCTCCGTCCCCCGGGTCTGGCTGTGATGGACTTGGAGCCCCAAGATGTACCCTGAGACCCCTCCATGATCACTTCCTGGGGACTAGAAAAAAGTCACAGCCAAGGCCAGGGCCATCCGTGCGGCCACGGGGCTTGTCCGGAATGATCCCGTACCGGCATCCCGCCCCAGGAAAGGAGGGGAACCTGCGCCGCCCCTCCTGAGTACCCCCCAGTAACCGGCTGTCCCCCTCCCAGCCCATCCCGGGTGCCCCCGCCTCTCCTCCCCTGCCACGCTGCCCCAGGTCCCTGCGGCTGCCTTTCATTTCCATCCGCCTCCCCTCTGCTCTCCGCTTTCCGCTGCTCCTCTTCCCCCGGCCCCAGGGAGAAGCTTGTTTCAGTGCAGAGAGACGCGGGGGGGCGCTTGTGAGTCAAGGTCCTAGCTTTGGGGACGCCGGGCGCACCTAGTCCCTGTCTGAGCCTGGACGCTGATGTGCTTTCTCTTCTCCCCAACCTCAGTGTGACTTCTTTAGGCGGACCCGCTACTACCGGATCATGCCCAAGTACCACGCTGTGCGCATCCGGGAAGAAGAGCGCTACCCACCTCCAGGGGGCACTGTGCCCACCAAGAAGCACTGGGTCACCAGCTGGCAGACCCGGGACCGATACTACTGACGTCCTCCTGATCCCAAGCCGTCTCCCCACGTCCCTTCTTCCTATTTATCCTTAAGTTATGCCTCTGACAGCCCGCAGGGGGCGCTGCCGCGGGCCATCTCCCTGCAGGACTTGCCGAGCCAACGCACTGTTCCCCGAGTCTGGGTGCACGGGGGGCTCACTGCTCCTGGCTTGTGCTTGTGCAGCACGGGTGATGCATGGACGCACCTTGTGCCAGTCTCTGCGCGTGCCAAACCAAGCGGCTCTGCCAAAGCAGAAGGAAAAGACCCCCTGCGTGGTGACACCCCCCTCTCACACTGGGTCCACCCTGAGCCAAAACCACTGGACCGACTTCGCTGCCGAGCGTAAACTACTGACAGGGAGCAGCGGCTTCCCGGCCCCTACACGATGCAGCTGTGCCCGGCCAAGGGCTGCCCAGGGGGCATTTACGTGACCAGAGAACAAATAAGCCGGAAAGCAGGTCCCAGAAAGGCTTCCTTCCATGACTCTGATGCCTTTCTCCTGGCCATGGACCAAACTAGCAGGGAACACAGCCCAAAGGGACAGAGAGACAACGGACGGCGCAGATGGCCACTCTGGGACTGCCCTGGAGCATAGTGGAAGCCTCTGGAGGGCAGGGGACCAGCCCTGGGCCAAGCAGACACTGCAGGACGAGGAGATACCAGTTCCCACCTACCCCTACCCCCGCCCCCCAGCCTCAGAAGTGCCTGGAGAGGCCCCACAAGATGTCAGAGGAAGTGACGCTTGAATGTAGGGCAGGGGCAGAGCCCTGTCCCCAGCCCAGCTGGCCAGGCCCCACTCTGTCCCCACTGACCACGGAATGGGGCCTAGAGGTGATGTTCTTGGCTGTCGTTGGCTTTCAGAGCCTCCCTGGCTGCCCCTCCCACATGGGCTGTGTGTGAGGCCCATAGCAGTTGAGGCTGGTCCCCCGTACCTCCTCTGGCTGCCCCTCCCACCCACGGTACTGTAGCAGGGGGCTCCCACGCCCCCCCTTGTGCCTTCTTTGTATACGGGCTTCTCACGGCAACCAATAAACAGCTCCCAGTTTGTACACCTGCCTCTGCCCATTGCGCCCTGGCCCTTGGCAGCCCCAGCTTCATCTGCATGGGTGATGGTGACATCACCCAGTGGGGCCCCGGCCAACAAAGCCTGACGCTGGGATCTCTGAGGCTTAGGGATGACACCAGCCCCTGCTCCTGCTCACAGGCACATAAATGAGATCTTAAAGTTAAGATGCAGGAAGGATCCTCACCAGGTGCAATCTACTGTGGCCCCACGTAGTCCTGGCCAGTGTGGAGCCTGGGTGCCAGGAGAGAGAGCCCTCAGCCAAGGGCTGAGTTCCTCTGAGAACTTGCTTTTCTGCCTGTGTTCCCCATCACCACCTCTGGGCACCGGATGGGGGCATCAGAAGGTGATCTGGGCACTCTACTCTCCTGGAAACTCCCCAGGAGTGTGCGGGTATTGAGCGTGGGTAAGTGCATTGTTTGGAATAAGCACCCCCTTTTGCACCCCCTACGTCCTGGGGTTCCTGATCAGCATCCCCTCTGTGCCGAGACTGTCTCCTCCACACAGGCCCTGGGAATGGAGCAAGGCTCCTCCCACCCTGAATTTGTTATCCTAAACTGTGGTACAGGTCCTCCTATTAGTTTTCCCCGAGGCTGGGCTGGGGGTGTAGCTCAGTGATAGAGCGCTTGCCCGGCATGGACAAGGCTCTGGGTTCCATCCCCTGCATCAGGAGGGAGAAAGGAATTTTCCCCGAGCCTGTGACCTCTAGCCAGGCTTCACTGATGGCTGAAATAACCGCCCGGTGAAACAGCCAGATCTCAGATTCAGCCACTTCCACAGACCATGGACCCATGTTTCCTAGGAATTTCACGTGTCTACCTGGGATCTACCAGCCTCAGCACTGGCAGCGGTCTGCCCTCCACTCCCTCCAGCAGGGCCCAGCATGGCAGCATCCTCGCCCCCTCACTTTCTGCACTGGCGTTAGCCTGTTCCGAGGATGACTGACAGTGGGATGGCCAATCCCCCCAGGAAAACCCAGCCCCTACCTACAGCTGCCAAGCTCCCAGAACCTGTGATCAGGGACCTTCCTTGCTTTTAGAATCTGGAATTCACTTGTTTGGAAATAACAGCTTATGTGGGTTGTGAAAGCCCAGCCAATCCTGTCCTTACGCAGCCATTTCCTGCTTAAATCAAAGCAGGTTTACATGTGCTGCTGTCGGGTGAGAATACACACACACACACACACACACACACACACACCTGTGAATAAGTCATTTGCAGGATTAGTGCTAGTCTGACATGAAAGAAATGTAAGTGGCAGAGAGCCATAGTACCCACGACAACAGGAAGCTGCCAATTACACTTCCTGAGCTCCTTGGAGCAGCAGCACTTCCACATCCCTGTCAAGGTAATTCTTCCCCTTCTGGAAACTGCTGACGATTGGCACTTCCGGGTCCTCCGGGTTGGATCAGGCCATGTGACTAATTCTGGCCAATGAGATTGAGCGGGGGAGGGAATCACTTTGGGGCTGAAGCATTTATTTCCTGCTGGCGAGCTCTCGCTCAGTTTTCCTTCCCCTGTCTCTGATTCATAGCTTGTACTGAGAAAAGCGCTGCGTCTCCGAGGGACCCCACCAACCCGCATTGTGCACGGAGTGGGACCTTTGGGGACTGAGTTTTTGTCAGCTCACCTAACCTACAGTGGCTGCTGACCCCCACATACACCAGGAGGGAAATTCTGCCGAAAACGGATTTTTATCCAAGCACAGAGCCCACTTTATGGAAGGCAGCTGTCAGGTGAGGGTCCTGGGCAATCTGTTCTGCGCTAGCACCCAGCCTCACAGTCATGGCCTTTTCCTTGTTACTTCATGTTGACAGTAATAATATTAGCTGCTACTTAGAGCTAGGACAGGGCTTGCATTTTTGTATATAATGTCCCATGCACTCCACCTGGCACTTGAAAACTACCTTTACTGAGTTACCAGCTCACCTCCTAATCGCTAGCCCCTCAAGGTTTGGGGTCTTCTCCATATCTCTGGGGCATGTCTCCCTGGCAACCCCAATCCTTTTCTCACCCTGTCCTTACTACGTGCCAGGCACTGTGCCTGGTGCTGGAGAGAGAGACAGCGGTGACTAAGACACAATCTGTTCCTTCCTGGAACACAGAGTTCAGTGGGGAGACAGATCAGTCAGCAAGCAAATGTCACTGAGTGAGATTAGCGCTCACACCTTGTTAACACCAGGGACCTAAGGCTGACTGAGCAGCTAAGATCTGAAGAATGGGCAGGTGACATTCCGATACTACACTTGATCGTAGCCAAAAGGCTGAGAAGTGATGGATAGGTGACATTCGCAAGAAAGAACGATCCAGATAGAAAAGACCACGTTTGCAGTGGTTAGGAGATTAGAAACGGGGTCCAGCAGCAGGTAGGTGGGGCTGGAAGTTGAGCAGAGGCTGGAGAAAGAGGCCAAAGCACCTCATGGGACAACTGGGAGAGCTCCAGCGAGGAGTAGAGGGAAGCAACGGGTCAGATCTGCAGTTGAGAACGATGAGCGAGTCTCACATTTCCTGTTTACAAAGTGGGGTTAATAATAGTACAATGCAACTGTTTTAAGAATTAAATGAGGCATAGCCGGGCATGGTGGCACACACCTGTAATCCCAGCACTTGGGAGGCTGAGGCAGGAGGATTGTTGCAAGCTCGAGACCAGCCTGGGCTACAAAGTGAGCTCAAGGCCAGCCTGAACGGCACAGCAAGACCCTGTTTCAAAAAGACCCCCCCCCAAAAAAAAAAAAGAATTAAATGAGGCGAGACATGGACACAGCACCTGCACGGTTATTTCTTCTGCTAGGAGTCCTTCTGGAACTTTGAAGCCTGGCTGTGTTGGCTACAATCGCATTCTGTTATAACTTATTTACTTATGCAGCCATCTCGCAGACTGAGAAATGAAGTGATTGAGGGAGAGGCTGTGTCCTGACCTTGCCTGTCTCCTCATCTCAGCACAAAGGCTAGCACACACTAGGGGCTTGCCAAGAGGGGGTCAAAGCGGTGAGGCGGGTTCCACCGCCGAGGATGGGATACACCACATTCTACCACAAGAGGGCGCGCGCGACATCTCCCAAGAAGGGGCGGAGCTGCTGGGGGAGGGGACTCCCCAGTCCCCACAGCTCCCTCGCTCTAACGAAGCCGGAGGCGGAGAAGGACGCTTTCTCAGGTGGTCGCCCAAGATACCATTGATGATGTTTAATCAAATGAACTAGATAATAATAAAAATGACAGTGTTCCCAGAATTAGCACTGACTGTAGCAGCTGCCTCCACCACTGCTGGTCGCGAGGGGTTTGATTGTTTTTCACTCGAAAAAAGGAAAACGCCACCTTTTCCAGAGCCACTTGAACCTCTCTGTGGAAGCGAGTGGGTTGTATGTACACAGATCAGATCGGTACAGGCTTGCATTCTGGTTCCGAATTTGGCAAATATTCAGTCTGGGTCAGTCATCCGGACTGGGAAGCCACAACACCCGTAAGGAACAGAGGGAGGCGTCAGGACAGGTGGACCCGAGACCTTTGGGAGGAAAGGGGGATTCGATGAAAGCTACCCGGACAGGTCAGGGAAGAAATGTTACAAGGGGCCAGCGAGTGAAGAACACAAGAGGAAGGGAAAAGCGGGGTGTTGTGCAAAGCAAAATGCCTGCTTTCTCTGGGGAGGAAGGGGTTAACCCGGGGTTTGCCCCCCCACACACAAGGACGGGGAGGATTGAGAGGCTTCGACTCTGTCTCCGAAAACAGGCCGGCGCCAGGGAAGACAGGGTTAAGGAGGCGGGGCTGGAGGGAAGCCACGTGCCGGGGCGCACGCCTATTGGTTCTGCGGGAGTTGTTTGTGCGCGGCCATTGGCCGGGTCGGGGCGTCGCGGCGATCAGATTGGCTTGGCGTCGGAGGGGTCGCCTGGGCCGGGTGGGGAGGAGGCGGCCAGACCCGGTCGCCGGGCTGGAGTGGGCCGAGCGGGGGCTCGAGCGCTACCCGCACGGGGACAGCAGCCGAGCCGCGGACGCCGACGCCATGCGCTGGGTCTGGGCGCTGCTGAAGAATGCGTCCCTGGCAGGGGCGCCCAAGTACATCGAGCACTTCAGCAAGTTCTCCCCGTCTCCCCTGTCTATGAAGCAGTTTCTGGACTTTGGTATGGAGAGGTTGGGGGGTCGCAAAAGAAGGGGTCTCAGAAAGGAGGGGGTCAGCCCGAGGAGAGGCCCTGAGTGGCAGGGAAGGCAAGAGAGCAGGGAGGCAGGGGTTAACGGGCAGGCGGGGCTGGCCAAGCCCTGGAAGTGCTGGGGGGCGGTTTGTCCCCTGGGCTGCGAATGGAAAGGGGCGCTGGGCAGGAGGCATGGGGTGTCCTCTCGGGGTCTTGGAGGGTAAAGGGCCGGGAGGCTGTGAAGTCAGCACAGGAAGGCAGTTGGATCCCATCCAGGCATAAAGGGCTAATGGGGGTTGTCCTGGGGACTCTAAGAGTGGGGACAATGAGAAAATAGGGGGGCTGCCAGGGGGCCCGCGGGTTGGAGGGACGAGGTGCTGCCGGGAGGTGCAGCCATCTGGAAGGAGACCTGGGTTGGACCTGAGAGGCGACCCTCCTGGGCAGAGCAGGAGCGAAATCCGCAGGCAGCTGGCGAAGGGTGCTGTCCCAGAGAAAGCTGCTCCCCGGAGCCAGCGCCTCGGACTATGTCCCTCCACCCATCCCAGCTCCCTAGTGGGCAAGGACACTTGAAGATCAAATCTATTCCAGCCTGGCAGCCGGTGCCCAGCTGGGCGGAAGCCCAAGCCACCATAAGGTGGTCAGGCCGCTTGTACCCTCCCTTGGCTACCCCTGGGTCCCTGGGTCCCAATTGCCCACTGTCCAGGTGGCTGTGGTAGGAGGAGGGTGGTGCCAGTGTGGCAGCTGATACAGACTTGTGTTGGTCTCTCTGTCAATAGGGTGTTTCCATGGTGTCAGCTAGGGGTTGGGAGGTGGGCCCAGGTCTCTCAGGAGTTGAGCTGACCATGGCTGGCTTAGGTCACAGCTGCCTCCCTGACTGTAGGGGGCAGCCAAGGTAAATGGCACCTGCGTCTTGCTGCTCCCTCCCCTGTTTGAGTCTTGAGCTTTGCCGGTGCAGGAAAGTCTCCTGGGCCTGCTGCAACCCCGTACTGGACCCCAGCTACAGAGCTGTCACAGCTGTGCAGGGTATAGTCTGCTTGTACAGCGAGAGGGAAACAGACTTTCAAAAGAATGGTGACCTGCCCTGGGTGACAGAGCTAGAAGCAGAGCCTAGACAGCCCCAGGTCTGTCATGGAAACACCCGGCCCTCTCCCTCTGCATCTTCTCTCCGGTACCGGGAACCGAACTCACGACCTTGCGCTTGCCAGGCAGGCGCTTTGCCGCTGAGCTAAATCCCCAGCCCCTCCCTCTGCATCTTGACCGCGCACTGAGGTCCCCATTTGCCCCACATGGGCACTGATACTGCTCTACGATGGGCACCTATCACCCTGCCAGCCTAGTAAGATGGCCTGGGACAGGGAAAGTGATGGGAGTCTAGGCATAGCTCCCCTAGCCAGGGCTCAGCCCCAGGAGAATGGCATTCCCCTGTGCTCCTGCCCCCGGGTCAGCCCCAGCACAAGTACCGCTGGGAGGGAAGGAAAGAAATGTCTCTGGTGCCTGTGGTTCCCAGCCGTGGGCTCAGCCTTCTACCCCACCTCCAGGGTCCAGCAATGCCTGCGAGAAGACGTCCTTCACCTTCCTCCGGCAGGAGCTGCCCGTGCGCCTGGCCAACATCATGAAAGAGATCAACCTGCTTCCCGACCGGGTGCTCAGCACGCCCTCAGTGCAGCTGGTACAGAGCTGGTGAGACCCCCGCCTGCCCCACCACCTGTCCCTGAGCTCGGGTTCTGGTTTCCATGCCCCAAGCAAGGATGGGAGCCTCCAAGAAGCTGGGAAGTTGCCCCAGGACACTCAGGGATCCAGGCCAGAGCAGAGGTGAAGGCCAAGCCCTTGGGACAACCCTAGCATTACCATCCACCTTTCTCTAGGATCCCAGGACCTACCCACACAGTCAGATTTCAGAGCCAAAGCCCCAAGGAAGGCTAATGTCAGCAGTGGCCCCCAGGCCTGGGCCTGTCAGGCAGTGTTTATTTAAGGTAGCTTTTTGGGAAACAAAAATGCAAGGAAGGGAATCTTAGAACAAACGATATCATGCAAGCTACACGTCTGACTGTTTTGGATGTTGGAAACACTCACGTAGACCTGAGGTGACGCGGTCCCTCCCCAAAGCACTCTGGAGGGCAAAGAGCACGAGTTTATTGTGGGTAGCTGCTTCGGGAGCGGGGAGTCTTGGGAAAGTTCACTCAGGTCTCTGCCTGGGGTCAAGCAATGGGCACTGTTAGCCAGTGGCTTGTCACATGGAGTGTAAACAAAGGAGCGCCCTGTCCCTGGCCGTGTGGCTGGCGGATCATCAGCAGGCTTTGGTGGCGCCCTTGCGGAGTCCTGTTCTCAGGACTTGCTGTGTGGATGAGTGGTTTCGTCACAGACTCAGGAGCACATGTGCCCCCTCTGAGCCCAACACCACGCAGTGTCTAAGGCAGCGGCAATAACTACCCTGAGGAACCCCCGATCTCCAGGGAAAGGAAACTCCAGCCAAGACAGAGCGAAGTGCAACCCGGACAGCTGATTTATTTAAACGAGCAAATTACTGAAGTAACATGGATTGCTTCCCCCCCAACACACACACCTGCTCACTGTAGACGCATAATATGTTCATTCTGACAGTTGGAAAACACAGAAACATAGATGGAGCAGGGCATAGTGCTGCATACCCATCATCCCAGCACTCTGGGAAGCTGAGGCAGGAGGATCCCAAGTTCTAGCTCAGCCAGGGCAGTTTAGCAACTCAGCAAGACCTTAACTCACAATAAAAAATAAAACGGGCTGGGGAGGTGGCTCAGTCTCCACGCAGAAGAAGGAAGAAGAAGAAAAAGAAAGCAGTAATCACTCCCCTCCCCGACAGGCCTGCTGAGGTTTTGTGAGTTTCATTGGTGGCCCCCCAGCACCCCTCTGTGCATGCGCCTGACTTACTCTAGTGAAATCAGCTGCAGTAAGGGAGGGCCTTGCGTGCACATGGCCAGGTATGTAGTAAGTGCACAGTGAATGCTGGTCAGATCAGAAGTTGTAGAAAAGTTAAAATGGACACAAGAGGTGCCAAGAACCGAGGGAAGGCCCTGGCGAGGCCATCTGGGGACTTGCTCTGTGGACAGTGGCTGTACTGTGGGGCCAGCCATGGAAGTGACTGACCGGGTCACCCCTCGCTGTGCCCAGGACTTCTGAGCCAACCGGCAGGTCCCAGCACGGGGTGGCAGAGCAGGGGGAGGGAGCAGAAGGTGCCATCTGTCCTCCCGGCTGTGTACAGCTCACTGTGCTGGCTGCCAGTCTAGCTGGTGCCTGACTCCAGGACAGGGCTTCTCAGCCTCCTTCCTGGACTCGGTGCCCCTGGGACAGCCGGGGATACAGCAGGAGGGCAGGGCCCCGGACTCCCCCAAACTTCCCCAGGAGGCCTGCAGAGCCACTTCCCGGAGTCAGTGATGCATGGGCAGGTTGAAGCCTGGAAGGAACGTGAAGCCACAGCGGGAGTGAGTGCGGCTGGGTGAGCAGGAGCACTTCCTTGGCGGGTAATGCAGCTCGGAGAAGAGCAGCCAGGGGCCTGTCGGCGTGCTGAAGCAATCGGCTTGCAGCAAGAGAGACTGTGGTGGGAGGCAGGAGGGACTTCCTGAGGGGGCAGGTGGTTGCCCGTAAGAGTGCAGAGCACTTTCTCTGAGAAGACTGGATGGGGCAGGTGGTAAAGGAGGGCAGGGTCTGCGAGCGATGAGGCGGCAACTCAGAAGCCCCTTGTCTGTGTGCGAATAGTAAACTAATCACTGAGAAGCTTCTCCTCCGCGAGGACAGGTTCTGGGCAGAGTCACCATCAGTGAAGAATTCCTGCTTCCAAGTAGACCCGATACACTCTTTCCACTGGACAGACTTGGGGTGGCAGGACCATTATTTGGAGGTGACAGGCAGGTGGGGGGAGCCCTCGGCTTCCCATCAGCATGGGTCACGTTGTTCTTGCTAGACACTTGGTCCTCAGCAAACACTTGGCTGTGTCTGGGCCTCGGGTTCCTCATCTGTGAAATGGGACCCCTGTGGTTTCCAAGGTCAGATGCCATTGCTCGATGTGAAAAGTGTGCAGGGCTCTGTCCGCCCAGTGGGTCCCTGGGCTTCTGGGTAGCAGCATCCCCAGGCCCAAGGCAACGTCATCGTGGTGGAGGTTTCTGAAGCAGTGCAGTAATAAGTGACCCGAGGGTGACCCGCGGACTCGCTGTGTGCCAGGAGCTGTTCAGGGTGCTCTCACCACAGCCTTCGGTTGTGGGCCTCGCCTCTGACCCCTACTCCGCAGGTGAGAAACGAGTTAGGGAGTGAAGAATCTCACACTGAGGAAGTAGGTGGTAGAGCTGGGATTCGAACCCAGGCTCTTGGATCTGGAGGCTGCACTTGGAAGGGGCAGGAAGAGGGCTAAGCCGTGCGACAGAGATACTTGTGAGCTGCCACATGAATCCAAGTCTGTGGGAAAGCAGGGTTCATGTACAGAAATGCCAGGGGCATGGAGCGCAGAGGGGGCCCTGGCTCCGTGCTGAGAGCAAGACCAGCCTGAGGAACGGCAGGGAGCACTTTCAGAGTGGCCCTCAGGTGACAGTGAGTCACCCCTGCCGCCAGCAGATTCTGGGGGGGGCCGGAGGAGGGGTGGGTCCCAGGATGAGGGGTGCTGTGGCCGGCACCTTCTTGCCAGCCTCCCTGCCTATCAACAAGGTGTGTGGACCCCTTCTGCCTGTGGAGAACCCCACTCCCTCCGAGCACCCCAACCAGTCCTTGCCTGGCAGGAGAACAGACGGAAGGCCCGGGGCCGCTCCTGCCAGGGCCCAGCCCCTGGAGTCCCTCAGCTTCCTGGCACGCGGGCAGCAGTCACGCAGGAGGGAACAGAGGGGTGAGCACGTCCTGTGTCATCTCCTCTGCTCTACACCCTGTCTGTCCCACCAAAGGCTTCCTGCTGGGAGCCCTAATCGGCAGCTGGGGAGCAGAGCAGCCGCCGCCTCCAGGACACAGCCTGCCTGAACCCCGGGCCGCAAAGCCGGCCTCCTCGCGCCCCACTCCGCCCTGTCCCAGAAGCTGTGGGCCTGGTGTACGCACATTTACGCACACCCACAGCAGCATGCTGCGTATTCGCGGACTTGTACACGCGCACGCCCCCACTCTCAGCTCCCTCCTGCTCCCACACAGGCCTCCAGCACCCAACCCCCTCAGCTCGCTCCCTGCACCCCTCCCTCCCTGTCCCCCGCATTCCTCCTCCTGCCCTCCACGACCAGGGCTGGGCTGGTGAGCCGAGGCCTGCTGGGGCCTCCGCATCACCTTGGGCTGTTAGAAGCTCTGGTCTCCCTGAGGAGCCGAGGCCTCCCTGCGTTGGCTTGGCCCCTGCTACGTACTCTGTCTGGGCTGCCTCTTCCCTGACTCTGGCACAGTGGCGGCCAAGGAGCCAGCACCACTCCATCCCTGGTGTTTCTCTCTGCAGGACCCTGGGTGTGCCTGAGGTGGCATCCAGAGTCCCAGGCCCCCGGGGTCCTCAGGGCAGGGGCAGGGTCCCTCTGGGAAGATCCCCCTCAAGGGCTCCTCTCTGTCCCAGGGGCACATCCGGGCCACTCCTTGGAGTGTGGCCTGTGAGCGGTGGGCAGGGCTCCCACACCCTGTGGTCCAGGACACGGAGGCCTGCAGCTGCCACCTCCTAATCCCTGTGCTGGTGGCACTGCCCGCTGTCAGCCCGTCCTGGCGCTCTGTGCTCCATGTCAGAGGCCATGCGACTGGGCCCCGCTCCTGCCCTTGGAGGTTCACTGGCCAGCCCTGCCTCTGGGCTCCGGAAGTCTAACCTGCCCGCCCCCACCACAGGCCAGCATGGGCAGGCAGCCCGGCGTCCCTGCCCTGACCCCTGCCTCCCCGCTGGCCCTGGGCCTCAAGAAGGGGTCCTGTGCCCTCCGGCTCCCCACCTGCCCCCACATCGCACAGTCATAATTCTCTCCCACATCCCCCATCCTTCTAGGAGTCCTAGGAGCTTGATGCTTAGGGGACACGGGATTCGGAGTCCTGCCGGGTGTGGGGAGAGGACCCACATGCTTCACGCTGATGTTGTCCTCTGGAAGCTGCGTAGCGTGGTGCCTGGTGCCCTACGGGGTTACCGTGGAGATTGGGGGGGCAGGGGAGCACAGAACAGAACCCAGAGAGGCTCCGTGACTGACCGGGGCCACACAGGTGGACAGGAAGAGCCAGGACTGAGACCGGGCAGAGCCGCTCCAAGCTGGTTCTCTCACCCTCTTCTCCCTGTCTTAGCAAGGGAGGGAAGGGCGTTCGGGCTGAGGAACAGCGTAAATGGATGCTGGGCGCAGTGTCGGCCAGGCTCCCCTCTCCAGTCCAGGCCTTGGTCTCCGGACCTCCGGGCCCCTCCCGAGCCTTCGATTAGAGGATTCTGAAGCAAGGGCGCTAACAGGGCCCGGCAAGCTGTAGGTTTCCAAGCATGGCTTGCCGGGTTGCCGGGGCGACGCGGGGGGGATGACACGGCTGGGGGAGGATATGCCGCAGCGGTCACCAGGCCCAGCTCCGCACAGTGCCCACAGCAGGAGCAGAGCAGCAGCGTCTGGCAAGGGGCGGTGGGCCGTAGCCCAGCAACAACTGAGGCTGTGTCCCCTCCTGCCCCTGCCCAGGTATGTGCAGAGCCTGCTGGACATCATGGAGTTCCTGGACAAGGACCCCGAGGACCACCGCACCTTGAACCAGTGAGTGAGGCTGTGGCGGGGCAGGACCTAACAGCCCTGGGGACAGAGCTCAGGGCGAAGGCCCTGGGTTCCATCCCCTGTAGGGAAATTGGAAGGGTCAGGGCTGGAGCCGGGCAGAGTGAATGTCTGCCCTCCCTGCAGGTTCACTGATGCCCTGGTCACCATCCGGAACCGCCACAACGACGTGGTGCCCACCATGGCCCAGGGCGTGCTGGAGTACAAGGACACCTACGGCGACGACCCCGTGTCCAACCAGAACATCCAGTACTTCCTGGACCGCTTCTACCTCAGCCGCATCTCCATCCGCATGCTCATCAACCAGCACAGTGAGCCGTGGTGGGGGGCGGGGGGGATGCACAGGGTCCCCGTCCCGGACTCCCAGGACAGAGTGGCAACCTCCACATGTCTTCTTTTGGAGTTATTTGAGCAGGAGGAACTCACTTCAGATGGCTGTGATTTGTCAGCAATCAACAGAGAATCCTAGAAGGAGAAACTTTAAATAACAGATATTTGGAATGTAACAGAAGTTTTTAAGAGTGCTAAAACTGTGCACATGCATAATCTCAGCACTCTGGGAGGCTGAGGCAGGAGTGTAATCCCACTCCGGGAGGCTTAGGTGGGAGGATCCAAAATTCGAGCCCAGCCTGGACAATTCAGTGACTTAGTGAGATCCTGTCTCAGAACTAAAAAATAAAAAAGGTCTGGGGGTGTAGCTTACTGTAAAGGCCCTGGGTTCGTTCTCCAGTATCAAACCAAACCAAACCAAACAACCTAAAGAGCAGCACACTCAGGCCTGCGAAGGCCCCGGAGAGCCTGAGCCAGCGACGCCCAGCAGGACTGGAGGCCGGGCCTCGTTAGGATGGGCGCTTGGGGTGGGGGTGAGAGTGGGACGGCCTGGGGAAGGGGTGCAGGGACAGCTGTGGCTCAGCCAGCAGCACCGCATTCTTCCTGCAGCCCTCATCTTCGACGGCAGCACCAACCCGGCCCACCCCAAGCACATCGGCAGCATCGACCCCAACTGCAACGTGTCCGAGGTGGTGAAAGGTGAGCCCCCTTCCCAGCTCTGCCCTGAAGGGGAGCCCCGAGCTGCCCTGACCGGAGGGTGGCCCGCCCCAGCCGTGGGGCCACGACCCCATGGGGTGGGATGCTGGCATAGCCAGGGTCAGTACTGAGTGTCCCCCTCGCCGTGCCCTGAACGGCCCCCATCTCCTCTCAGATGCCTACGACATGGCCAAGCTCCTGTGTGACAAGTATTACATGGCCTCACCTGACCTGGAGATCCAAGAGGTCAACGGTGAGCAGCGAGCTTGGCCTGTGTGTCTCTATGCGGGGGGGGGGGGGGGGACGCAGGAGACCAGGGTGCGACGGGACTCAGGGTGTGGGCGGCTTTCTAGATTGGGGAGCACCGGAGCTACAGTGCTTATTAGCTCATTGGGCGAGCCAGGTGTGGTGGTGCATGCCTGTAGTCCCAGCACTCAGGAGGCTGAGGCAGGAAGATTGCTGAGAGTTCAAGGCCAGCCTGGGCCTCAAAAAAAAAGGAAAAGAAAAGGATAAAACAACATCCTTAACTCATCAGGCAGCTGTGTATTAAATATCGGGTAAACATTTATTGTAAACAAGACTCTGGCCAGGTCCTGGTCCTCTTTGAGGGTTACATTCCTGGTGCTGGGAAGGTTGGAGAATGGGGTCTTTAACCAGGAAGAAGCAAACAAGATCATTTCAAGACCTGATGGCAGGAAGGCAGTGCAGGAGAGAAGGGGACAGAGCAGGAGGAGCGGTGTGTGAGGTAGGGTGTCAGTTTGGCTGCCTTCCCAGAACCCAGTCATGGAGACTTAATGAAGGTTGGTTTCCCTGCAGCCAGCCCCGGGATGACCCGTGAGTGGCCACCGCAGGCCGTGCACCTCCAAGCTCGTAGAGGGCCAGAGTTAAACATGTTAAACATCAGTCACTGTGGCCCAGCTCAAGGGAGGCTGAGGATTCCGTCTCTAGCGGGGCAGCCATGCGCCAGCTACGGCCATGATGGAGTGTGTGTGTGTGTGTGTGTGTGTGTGTGTGACTGAAAGGAAGCATGGAGGAAAGAGAACAGGGGTGATCCTGGTGAAGGCAGGGGGCATCAGCTCCAGTTTCCTGACCTTAGTCTTGACTCCTGCAGCCGCCAACGCCACCCAGCCCATTCACATGGTCTACGTCCCCTCCCACCTCTACCACATGCTCTTCGAACTCTTCAAGGTGAGGAGGCCGGGCGGACCCTGTGAGGGAAGGCTGGGGCCTCCGTTGAGGCTGGCCCTTCTCTCAGCCTGTCCCTCCTCATTCCCTCCCAGAATGCCATGCGGGCCACTGTGGAGAGCCACGAGTCCAGCCTCGTTCTCCCCCCTATCAAGGTCATGGTGGCCTTGGGCGAGGAAGATCTGTCCATCAAGGTACGTGACCTTTGACCCCGGCATGGGGAAAGGGCTGGGCAAGGGGTTTGGGTGGGGCCCTGACGTGCCCCCTGTCCTCTAGATGAGTGACCGAGGTGGGGGCGTCCCTTTGAGGAAGATCGAGCGCCTCTTCAGCTACATGTACTCCACGGCCCCCACCCCCCAGCCCGGCACGGGGGGCACCCCACTGGTGAGACCCGGATCCTCTCTCTCCCGTCTCTTCATCCTGGCCACGTGTCTGCCCAGCATCTGTCTGTCTGCCCTCCCGTTGCCTTTCCTCGACCCCTCCTGTTCTCTCCGTTTGGCCTGCGCCCGCTCTCCTCCCACAGTTCTAGGCTTTCTTGTGGTGGCGTCCAACCTGCCAGCGTCTCCCTGTCCCTGTGTGCAGTAGGCAGGACCGGGCTTGGGAAACGGAGGCTCGGAGGAGCCCGTGGCCCACCCGGTCCTGTCCAGCCTCCCTCCCCACTCCCTACCTTCTCACTCGGCCCCACCCACACCCCAGTTCCAGGAGCCCTGCGCAGCCCCAGCCCTCCCCTCCCCTCCGTCCCTCCGGGGGCTGAGCACCGGTCCCCCTCACATCCCCTGTGCCCGCAGGCCGGCTTTGGTTACGGGCTGCCCATCTCCCGCCTCTACGCTAAGTACTTCCAGGGGGACCTGCAGCTCTTCTCCATGGAGGGCTTCGGGACCGACGCCGTCATCTATCTCAAGGTGAGGCCCGCTGGAGACGGGGCGCTGGCAGACTAGCCCCTGTTAGATTGCCTGTCCTTCCACCACCCTGTCCTGGGTCCCGGCTCCAAATCAGAACATCGGAGTTGCTGGACACGCAGCCCCAGTCACGCCAGCATGCCAGGAAGTTCCAGGGAGTCCTGTTAGACCAGGCAGGGAAGGGGAGCGTGGAGATCTTGTCATTCGGCCCCGAGGGAAGGCCTGAGGACCCGGTGGCATGGCGACCTGGATCAGGTTCACACGGTCTGGCCTCCTCCTCTCCCTCCCTGACCCCCAAAGGGGGCAGCCTCAGGGCACAGAAGGGGCAGACCCCGTCGTGGGTCGCAGCCAGCGTCTGGTGGCTGAGCCAACTCTGACCTGGGGTGGGACACCAGGACAGGTGAGGTTTAATTAATGAGTGCACAGCCACGGGGGCACGGACCGCTGACTCTGCTGCCTTGCAGGCCCTGTCCACGGACTCGGTTGAGCGCCTGCCCGTCTACAACAAGTCTGCCTGGCGCCACTACCAGACCATCCAGGAGGCCGGTGACTGGTGCGTGCCCAGCACAGAGCCCAAGAACACGTCCACGTACCGGGTCAGCTAGGGGCCACGTGCGCCCACACACAGGAGGACAGACTGCCGTCTGTGGGTCCGGCCACCATGGGGCCCTCCCCACCCCTCCCTCCGGAGGCGGAGGTGGGGGTGTCTTCTTGATGACCAGGTTCTGTCTGTGTGGAAGTCACTGCAGTGACCAGTCTGGTGGTTCCTAAGTGCCAATCTGTCTCCACGGAGACACCTAGGTGGTCTCCCTGGGGTCCACTCTTCGTGGGTGATGCCTGAGGGCCGGGGTTCATGGCTCCACCCTGATAGGATGCCCCAGATACCCTGTCCCATGGCAGTCACTCTCCTGCCAGGGATCCTGGGTCCCCCTCACTGCCCACCACACCCCCAGTCTTCCAAGTGGACGCCCTGCTTGCCTTATTCTCCACCAGTGGGCACACTGCCCTGGCCACTGTCAGTATCAGGAAGGGTCCAGGTGCCCCCAGACCTGGGAGTGAGTGGGAAAGGGGGGCGCTCTTGGCCCCGGGTCAGGGACCTGGTCTTGGAGTTTCTCCTCCACTCTGGGCATTAAGATCAAGGTGGGATGGGCACAGCTCTGGCCCAAGGCTCACCCTAAAGGAGAGGAACCCAAGAAGCCCCCGAGGCCACCTGCCCAGCCAAGGACCCTCAGATGACCTTGGCCATGGTGGCACTGCCTCCCATGCCCTTGCCCAGCATGTCTGCACATGCGCAGCCCGCCCTGCCCTGCCACACCCACCCTGTCCTGCCTGAGCCCCAGACCCTAGAGCCCACATGCCCGACCCTGTGCCTGGTGGCTTCCTCCCTGGGATGTTCTCTGTACATAGCTAGTTTTATAACCCTGGGTGCCAACCCCCAAGGACACAGGAGGCTAAAGCTGTGTGTTCCTCCCAGTGGCTGACAGTGACATCCGCAGTAAAGAGGAGATTGAATAAGACCGTGGCCTGGCTGCATTGCTGGGGGAAGGAGGGGGGTCCACGCCTGCACGCAAGCAGCCTGCAGGGCCTGTGACCAACACGAGGTGTTCTCGGGACATCAGCCCGGCACGCACCATGGGCACGGCGCCAGGCAGAGCCGCACACTCAGGATGCCTGACAGCCCCCCACCGGAGGGCAGACCTGTTGCCCCACCACATTCAGAGCCCTCTTTTGTTCCCGCCAGAACCCCCAGCTGGGGCAGACAGAAAGGCCACTGGCACGTTGTAAGTGTTTATTGAGAAACTGAGACCCTCTTCCCCCCTCACATGCAGGTGGGCACCTACTATGGCTCCTGACGGCTCCAAGGACGCAAGTGCCTTCCAACCTCCCCATCAGCCCCTCTGCCGGGCCCGATGGTGCCGGTGCTCCATATCTAGTGTCCCTCTGAAGTCCCTCTCCCAGCACAGATGGCCCAGGGGAAGAAAGAGCTGATCTCAGGGACAAGGCCTGGCCCTAAGCCATAGCCCCGGGCAGGAACAAGGATGTCAGCATGCGCTGGTTCAGTCCGGATGGGAGGGGTGGGGAAAGTTCCCATCAGAAACCCCTGGGCCCCCCGCAGTGACTGACCAGTGTCCCTGGAAGTGGAGCCAGCAGTGGTCAGAACGGTCCTGGGCTGTCTCTGGTCATCTCCTAAAAAGGACCGATGCCACCCCCAGGCTGCTGGTAAATTCTACCCCCTGCTAGTGAACCAGAGCCTGCACTAAGGCCCCACAGTGGCCAGGACAGGTGGCCAGAAGTCAGCTAATAAGCCCCCTCCAATCCAGCAGCTCCTAGGTGACACCCCAGGTTTGGCCTCTGCTGGCTGGGATAAAGGCTCAGCCCCACCCAGGCACTGGTGGGAGGCGCCCTTCTGTCCCCACCAGCTCCCACGTTTGCTGTGTCCCCAGAGAGGGCTCAGGGGCACTCAGGGAGCAGGAGGAGAGGTGGGACCTGGCTTGCAGAGTGGGTCAAAGACCCTGTCCTGAATAGCCCTTCCCGGAGGGCAGATGTGTGTGTGGGTGCCATCCCACCCACAGGCACCTACGGGACAGGGGAGGGCCTGTCAGCCTCCTGGCCCCTCCGGGAGTCCACAGACGCTGTGTACCCCATGCTGCTGTCTGCTGTCCCATGGAGGCGCTGGGGGGGAGTCTACCCTGAGTGTGACTTGCCGCCCCCCACAGCCACCTCAGAGGGGAATGGCTCTGTCACCTACCCCTGCCAAGACGCCCAGCCTTCTCAGAGCCTGGGGACCCCGGCCTGTCAAGATCCCTAGGGCACAGGCAGGCAAGCGCCCTAGCTTGTTTCCAGCCCAGCAGCGCCCTGGCAGAGGCAGAGGGTCAGCCAGACCCAAGGGCACCTAGACTTGCTTTAGCCTGGGCCTCTCTGCCTCTTCCCTTCCTCTGCCTCCCCCAGGAACTCTGTGCCAAGCAAGTCCTGGAAATCGGGTTTATTTCAGGGGCCCTCTCCCTGGGGTCTCCCTCCCGGGGACTCGGTCCAGGCGGGGAGAGGGGCGTGCGCCCCTCGAGTGTGGGGCCAGGCCAGCCCAAGCCTGGCGCAGCCCCGGCCTCCCTGGTGAGGCCTGTGCCCGCCGAGCCGGGCTGCCGTGCCCAGTGCCGCGCACCCTGCCCACCCCTAGCTCTTCTTGGCCTCCTGCTCGCGCCGCCGGAGCTTGTCCCGCTGCCGCGCAGCCTTCTCCTGTGCCTTGCGCTCCTTCTCCGCGGCTGCCGCCAGCTCCTTCAGCTTCCGCTTCACCAGTGCCCGGTCATGCGCGTTGCTGAGGCCCAGGCTCTGGGGAGGAATCCCGGGGTGCGGAGGGAAGCTCGCTGGAACCATCTGTGCAGCCCACCCAAGGTGGCTTCCTTCTGCCCCCGGTACCCCGCTGCAGAGCTCTGGGGCCTCCCCCTCCTCCTCCCACACGGTGAGCTTCCTCCCAGATCAGGAGTGCGAGGGGTTGGAGGAGAAGAGGGCTGAGCAGGAGACCAGCCAGGAAGCCTGGCAGAGGTCAGAGGCCTCCCTCCACCCTGTCACACTGCCACCGGCCCCTCAGGACGGGAATCAGAGTTACCAGGAGAGAGGCCTTGCTTCTCATGACCCCGGGAAACTCAGTCCTGAAGGACAGGTCAGCTGGAGCGGAAGTCAGATGAAGTGGGGGGACTGAGGTTCTAGTCAGGTTGGGGTCCCCGGTGAGAGGGCAAAGATTAGACAAAGACCTTGCCTGAGGTCAGAACTCAGTGCAGCGGATAGAAAGGGGGTGGCGAGGTCAGCCAGGGATGCGGGGCAGGGCCAGCAGTCAAAGGTCAGGAGGAGGGTCCCTGATCTTGAAAGTTACCTTGGCTACCACTGGGTCATGACCCTTGCACTTTGACCTACCTTTAGTTTGCTTCCATCCAGCTGCAGCAGCTGCGGCCCATCCACCTGCCGGGCAGCAAACTCGGCGGCATACTGCTCCAGGCTGAGGCTCTGCAGCCACTGGCCCACCTGCTGGCTGGTCCAGTGCTGGACGGCGGGGAGGGGCTCATCCAGGAACTGGGCAGAGACCACACGCGTGAGGAGGCTGGGCCCGCACACCAGCCCCCACGGGTACCACAGGCTGGCGCTGCTCACCTCGTCTGAAGACTGGGACAGCGTGTGGTAGGGGTACGAGCACTTGGCTTCCTCCCGAGGGCCACTCGGGATCTTGGGGCTGCTGCTGGGTGGTGTGGAGTCGTCACTCAGGGTGGATTCCTGGATAGGAAGGCTCAAGTTCACCCCCAAGCCAAGGGAGCCATCTGCCTCCAAACCCACCCCATCTCGATGGGGCCGAAGTCCTAGTCTAGGCACCAGTGTTGCTCAGTGCCCCTGTACATGAGCCAGGAGCTGGTAGGATACAGGCACGGGGCCTGGTGACTCATGTGAAGCAACAATCCAGAGGATTTGGGGGTACAACGAAGCCAGATGCAGGTTGGCAATAGGTGTTGCTTCCTCCAAGGAGCCAACCAGGATTCCCCCAGGCTGGGCCAGGCGTCGTGGGTGTGTGCCTCCCACCTGGCCTCTAGCTCCACGGCTGGCATCTGACCTCCCTAGGCTGTGTCTTGATGGGTATGGTGTCCGCAGGGCCCAACACAGGGAAAGGAAGAAAGTGAGCGACAGAGGAAGAAGGGTCTGTATGAGTCCTGGGCAAGTCCCTCCTCTCCAGACCTTCACCTGCTCATCTGCCCAGTGGGGAGGAGCGTGCCTGCCTCCCTTCCTCCCTGGCCAAGCCAAAACAAGTGTTTGGGGGCTTTATACACTGTCAGGTGCCATGGGCAGGGGCACAGATGTCCTGTGCTGCGTCTGTTCCTCTGTCTTATGTCACAGGGCTGTGAGCTTTCAGAGCACCGCGCTGAGGTCCTATGCTGCTCTATTTCTGAAGCTCACGCAGGTGGCCCGGAACCGAGCCAGGCAGAACAGTTAGCCGAGTTGGGCCTGGAGACACAGGCTGGGTGAATGGGAGGGGGATCCGCATTCAGCGATGAGGGTGGAGTGGAGCAGGCAATGAATGAACCCAGGAATGAATGAATTCCTCAGAATATGAATGAGTGTGCGGCAGATGAGGGAATTCGGCGGACGGCTGAAGGAACAGACTGCAGGGAGGCCTGGACCCCAGCTGGAAGTGTGTCCTCATGTCACCTGAGTCTAGGGGCCCGTGTGGGACAAGAAAGTCCCTGGCTTACCTGGGAGGCTGACTTCTTAGGGCTGAAGCCCTCATGTTTCGGGGAGCAGGCTGGGGAGGTGGTGCTGCCTGAGGATGCCGAGCCCTTGCCGCTGTCCGTGAACCAGGAAAAGGGCAGGAACGGGGAGCCCGCTGACCTGCCAGAGCCCTCCACTGACTCCCTGTGGAGAGAACGTCCCGCATGGGTGTGGGCATCCAGGGGCAGTGAGGCCGGGTCGGGCTGCCCAGGGCACCTCTCACCTGCTGCCCATGGACAGGCGGTTGCTGCCTTTCTCCTTCCGGCTCTTGCCAGTGGATGCCCGGCGGAGGGTGACCCTGTGGGGCGGAGGGAAGCAGGCAGAGCTGCCCACGGTGCCACCCGTACCCATGCAGGTCCGAGCCCTGTGCCCTGCGCCCTCCACTCACCCCAGGTCCAGAAACTTCCGGCGCGTCTTCTTATCCAGGCCAATGGTGGGACTGGCAGGCTCAGGGGGGCTGGCGTCCCGGCTGTCATCTTTGGGGGACGAGAGGGAAGGAAATAGCCGAGTGGTGGCCTCCTGGGCGGCTGAGGATTCTCTCGACTTAGAACCAGGCAGCCTGGCTCTGGTGCCCTTCACCCCGAGTGACCTCTGTGATGTTCCTTCCCCTGAAGTTTGAGGATAGTAACACCTGCCCCTTTCGTGGTACCTGATGCGATGCCCAGGAGAGACTTTTACAAACTGTGAACTTCACAAACTCAAAAGCAGGGACATTACTACTTACCGTTCATTTTATCCTGGTTGTTTCTCTCCTAAAACACCCGCCCCCAAGAGGACAGGGCACCTCTGGTCTGTCTGAGACCTAGAACCCAGCGACCCCCCGGCACACCTTGAGCCCGCGCAGTTCCGGTGCTCCCGGCAGGGGGCGCCGCGCTCACCTTCGCTGTGCGGCTCGGCGCGCGGGTGGCGGCGCACGAAGCTCGGCGAGCTGTCCGAGGAGGGAGCGGAGC